GAGTGGGTCTTGTGCTTCTCAGACTTTTCTCTCTCTTAGCTTTGATTTGTATATTGCTCCTTCCAGTTTTTCTGTTAATATTTTCACAGCATGTTGAGCCAGCAATACTCCAGAGCAATTTTCAGCCTCACAAAGCCCAGCACTGTTACTGTGATATGTTACTGTGATATATTTCAGTCTCAGTCTTTGCAGAATGCTAAAACCTGAAGAGTAACAGTTTATTTATTTAAATTTTTTTGGCTAAAGCACTTTTTGGGATGTCATGTGACTTCTAGAACTTCCAGGCTTTCTGTTTCTCAGGGCTGGGTGAATTACAATAGTGTGATTTAAAGATATTTGACATTACTGGCTTTCCAGCATGAATACACTATTAGAATTGTTGAGGATAGAAGGGTCTCAGAAGTTTTCATGTTACTTGAAATCCAGTCATTTATGACATTCTAATTAATGATAAAGCTTAAATTTATTCTTCACTAGATGGTTTGTTGCTTTTTTCCCCTCTGAAGATGAACATATGCTGGAAAATAAATGTTTAAATTAAAGAACTGTCCACAGTAGATATTACCATCTATTAGTTACCACAAAGTTGCTAATGACTAGTGAAAATACTGCTTTTTTTCTCTAATGTGTGCTCTAAGAAGTGTCTTCATTTATGTTCAGCTGACTCAGATGAACTCATCTAAGAAAATAACATCCAACTGATACCTCAAGACACATCTTGAAGTTTTGATTCAACAGATCATAGTAGCTTATGCTCTCTTTTCACCGGAGACCAACAAAGCACATCTTTAATTGCACTGTTAAATTAGGGGTTTGGCTGTGGCAACTTACATTAGCTAATGAGAAAAAAAAACCCCAGCCAAAAACAGAGGAAATATTTAATACTAGCATAAACAGGTATGAATATAAATACAAACAACATTTACATTTCTTGGTTAAGAAGGCAGCAGCATTTTGCTTTCAGATTAGAACACAGCTTTCAAGGTTCATGCAGAGTGCTTGAAATGGCTTCCTCCACACTGTCCAAGGAATGGATAGGCAGGTCCTGTAGATTTTTCAGTTGCCAATGCCTTTGATCAGGTATTTCTCAAGCAGCTAATGTTTTAAGAATAAGAATGCTTGAGCATAAGCACATTGAAGAAGCCTGATCTGCAGAACAAGGGTATTTCTTGCCTTCTGAAATCAAACACTTCCATGCAGTGCTCTCAAGTCAAGCATTCTCATGTTGTGCTCTGGCAGGCTGGGTTCTACTCGGAGTCCCTTGGGATCCTTGGTCTCTGTGCCCTCTTGCACTGGCAATACTGGCTCACCTACATTTATCTGACTTAAAATACAAGCTCTTCAGGGCAAGTACCTGGTCTTTTATGTGTTTTGAAAGAGCTGTATATAATTAAGGTACTTTGTATGAAGAAATTACTTCAAAACAGTTTACATAGGGCAGCTATTTCAAGATCAAGGAAAAATCTTTAGCCTTGTTCCCTGAGGAAACAAGGCTTATGTGACTGGACTGGCTGGCTGTCCCTCCTCACTTCCATTCAACACCTTTTGAACTTGTTGGTTGCAGTTTAAACTACATTTGAAAGGGGGAGACGTCTCAATGATAATTAAGTTCCCATGGACTTTATGAAAATCAGTGGCTGGGAAGAGAGAAATCCAGATCCCCAGTTCAAATAACTAATTTTTCTAGGTGTAATCTTGCAAACTAAAAACTTGACAGCAAGTGTAATAATGACGGTCAGGTTGATAATGTACTCCCAACTACTTTAGAAGACTGACAGCTATTTCCATCCAATTGTTAATATGATGGTTGACACCATAATAAAGTTAAATTTCCCCAGTTTTGGTGTTCCAACAGTTTTTAGCATGAACAATATACTCATCCTCCTCACACTTGTAGATACTATGAATTATGGGAGAAATCAGTATCTTTCCTTATTACCTTAAGTGTGAAAATTTTGTATTTTTGCTTATTTTAGCTGGCGATGTTCATTATTGTCATCTTATCCTTTCCCTGTAATCAGTTAGTACTGGCAATACATACATAGAATAAGAAATTAATAATTGGGCTGCATTACTCATGATCTGATAGGGAAATTTCTAGGTGGTTTTGTTATCACTAAAGCCCTTTACCCATCTGAGCTGTATGAACTTAATGCAGCCCTTAATATTGCTCTTCACTTAATTGTTTTGGTTCTACTGGTTGAAAAAAGTCCTCAAAGGGAGTGGAAAAAGACAGGCATTATCTATCTCATTTGCAGATTATTTCACTGTCTAATAAAACCTAAACCCCAAACAATACAAAAACTTGAGCTTAAGGTAATGACCATTTGAAGGCCACAGGTGGAAGATCACTGTGTGAGGATACGGGTCTTGCTCGGTGCTACAGCTGCTTATTAGTTCAATGAGTGACACTGGGTCAACAGGAATAGGCAAAGACAAGGGTTTCATGGATTTCTGTTAGGTGGCAGCATAAGTCAACTCTGCCTTTTCCCCAATTTAAGCTCTGTGTTTTTCACGTTTTTTGGTATTTTTCATTTGTTTGGGCAAGCCTTTCTGCTGCACGTTCTCTGGCGTTAAATGGGTTCCATGTGGCTCCCCTGAGTCAAGACTGTGTAGGCTGTTGATTAAGAAAAAATAACTAACTTAACACTTTTCCAGCTGGAGGAGGAAGTGGCTCCACAAAAAAGGTCTTTATTTTCTTCAATAGCCAAGGGGGCAGACACACCGCAGGCCGGGCACCCCGGCCAGCTGCAGGCGGGCTGACCTGGTGTCTCCCCCGCCTCCGCGCTGGGCCCTCAGAAGCTCCGAAGTGAGACTTGCGTGGTCCTTCCTGTTGAAGCTGTTCCACTTCATATAAGTCATTAAGCGTTAATTAGAAGAGGACTTGTTGAGCATTCATTAAACATTAAATACTAATTGAGCGCCCGGGGAGAGCGCCGGCACCATTCGGCCGCGCAGTCATTCTCACGCCGGCCCGAGCGGGGCCGGGGGCAGGCGGGGCAGCCCTGGCCGCCGGCAGCCGTGTCCCCGGCCGGGGGCGGCGTGCCCGGGGCGGCCAGGCAGGGCAGGCATAGTCGGGCGGCACAGACGGCAACCTGCCACGCCCGCCGTGCGAGGTGGAAGGTGCGGGTTCATCTCCCCGCGGGGTTTTGAACCCATATGTCTCACGGGGGCCCCGGCGGCCGGGCGGGGCCGGCCCCCGCACGCTTCCCGGGGTTGGGGGAAAGCCACGCCTGCTCCCGACACCTCCGAGCGGCCAGCATCGGGGGGCGGCCGGCTCACAGCCGCTCCACACGCTCCGCAGCCATCGTGCCGGGCGGGGACGAGCCGGTGCCCCTGCCCTGCGCCGCCCCTCTCCCGGCCCGGGCGCCGGCTCACGCCGGGCAGCCCGCACTGCAGCTCGCCGGGGCGGCGGCGGCGCGAACCGCCCTCCTCCAACCCTCAGTGCTTTTCCCTCAACATCAAAGGGCGTCGGTTTTGCCCGCGGCGGCGTTTTGCCCTCAATAACAAGGCGGCGGCAGCCGCAGCGCGGGCTGCTGGGGCACCTACGGGGCGCGGCGCCCACTCGAGCCCCGCCGTCCCCTCGACGGCCTCGCCCGTGGCCGGGGGCGCCCGCGCTTCCCGCGGCCTTCGCTGGGGGCCGGTCCGGCGCTGCCGCCGCCCCTCCCTCAGCGGCCGGGACGGGCGGCCCGGCCAGGCCAGGTAGAGCCGCTGCCCGCGGCGGGGCGGCGGCTCGAGGCGGGCTGCGAGGGCGGGCCGGGGCGGAGCGCACAGACGGCCGGCGCCGGGACAGCCGCGCTACGGGTAGCGGCGGTGTGCGTGGGGCGGCTTCGTGCAGGGGCCGCCGAGCCGAGCGGTGAGTGTCGGGCGCTCGGCGGGCTGGGGAGGTGAGGCGAGGATGCGGTGCGGCCGGCGGCGGGTAAAGCCCGCCACGGCACCTTCCTCCTGCTTATCCCGTTTTGGGATGGGGGAGGACAGCGGCAGCATCGGGCGGCTTCACCCTCCTGGCGGCGCGCGGAGCGGGGGCCGTGACTTTTGCGGCGCTGTGATGCTGGGCTGGTTCTCTGCAGCCGCACCCGCGGGGAAGGGATCGGGGGGCGCAGGGGCTTCAACTCCGGCCCGCCCTGAGCACTGGGGGACGACGGGCACTAACAGTGGCCGGGGAGCTGGGTGTCTGCAGCAGAAACAAGCTGGAAACTGCTGGAACAGGGTCCGTGCTGTCGAGGGAACCCGCTCTCCTCGAGAGGTCTGGTGCGCAGGGGTAGAAAGTACTCGCGGTGTTTTGAAATAGACGTCTCAAAACAAGTATTCATCGTACCGGCATGTAAAAAGGGCTAATGTATTAAAATGCAAATATGCATGTGTACTCGGCGATGCTGTTGCGTGTTTCCTGTTTACCATGTTAATTAGAAGTTGTAAGGCAGAACTTCGCCAAGAGTAATCCAGGGCAGTGTTTGACCCAGTAATGCTCACTGAGTGATGCAGTGACTTTTATACTTCTGGGAATTTTAGGCCAAAACACAACCCAAATATTTACTGAATTTCATTAATGAGAAATGTAAGACAACTTATACCTTTGAAACTATTCTCCCAGTATGGAGAGAAAGTTAAACTCCCCACTCTTGTTTTTCTGAGGAAAATTTTGACTGTGAAGTTTGACCCCAGTCTTGCAGGCACCAGGATGCTTTTCTGTAACATTTTGGGTGACGTTAACTAATTGTGCAAAATTTTGAGATTTGGGATATATAAAGCTGCCATTATAAAGTAAGATGAGCACATGTGCAAACAAATGCAGGCAAAAATGTACAGAAGCATTGAGTCCTAATTGTTTTTCAAGGGTTTTGCTGTTCTTCTTTTTTTGAGAGCTAGAATTGTTCAGTAAACTGTTTTGTTTCCAGTCACTGTGTCCTTTTAATTTAGAGGTAGTCGTAGAACAAAAAAATGTATTTTAGAAACAATTTTGACATTAACCAAATGTTTGTTTGTTTTTGTAGTCCACCTCACACCTTCCAGATTCTTCCAGAGAAGAGAATAAAAAGAAACCCGTTTTGGAAAGACTTGGAAATTTGTTTGGTACAGGGAAGAGGAAAAATGTCAAAAGTTCACTAGAACACACTTCACGTCACAAGGGTGAGAGGTCAGGTTCTCCTCACGGGGCGCAGGCAGTCTACTGTAGGCACTTCAGAGAAGGACACGAAGCTCCTCAAGTAGAGAAACAAGTGAGAAACATAAGTGCCCTTCCTGAGGCACAGGAATATAATTTCAGTGGGGAAGTGAGACCTCTGTATCACGATACGATTTCAGAATGGAGCAGTAGGGGAGTCTCTTCTGACAGCGAGTGGTCAGCAGATTGGAGCGGCAGCAGCGAAACCATTAAAAACTCCTTCTGTGAGAGCAGCCTGAATGTGGAAACGCTGGGGCTGGAGAAAGAATCCGTCACAGATATAAATAATTCCACAACTCCAGATTTCATACAGAGCTTGAGAAATCTGTCTAGTGAAGACTTAGAAAAGAGTATCTTAAGTCACAAGCAGCTTGTGAACACGTGGGTGTCTGAGGAGCCCGGGCATGCAAAACCAAAGGATTTGCCATACGAGTTGGAATCTGCAGCGAGTGAGCACGCATATTCTGCTAGAGTGTTAACTGTTGATATCTATCTAAGAAAAACAGAGGAGCTCCTTAATGAACCCGTGACTCTTAAATCGGAAGAAAATTGCAGTGATTTGGACACAATGGATAAAAAATCTGCTAGTAAAAGATCTGGAAAACGGAGAAAGTCTCAATCATCTGGCGACATTCCAAATGGAGAGAGAAACCAGTCTGAGAATACTGCAAGGGAAGAATCCGGTTTTGAGGATGATGCCCATTCTGAGGTGTTTTCAGACAAGATAATAAACTCTGAACGGAAAGTGAGGTCTCTTCAACAGACTCCTGAAAGAAATTCCTCTTCCTCAGGTAGCAATCAGGACCTAAAAGTTGGATCTGCTCACAAAGCGGCATCTAAAGCTGAAGCTGACAAGGGCAAGCAGCAGATCTCAAACACAGGCTCTGCGAGGAGAAGATCATATAAAAAGAATCAGTCGGATACTGTACCCATTTCCCCTACTGGTTTGAAGGGTCCGGTGAAAGATTACTCTTCAAAAAGGCAACCTTTAGCATCGCCAGAGACTAACCCAGTGACAAAAAGAACTTCAGTGGAGAAGGGAGCTATACCTGTGGCTTTTGGGGAAGACAGTTTGGAGTCTCCCAAAGCTTCTTTGGCTGCTAAGACAGAAGACCTGGTGTTTTCTGAAGGCAGAAATGATACCAAGGCAGTAAAGAATGGTAATGGTTCAGATGGAAGAGCTTTCTTGCATACTGATGGAATTAAAAATGGAGACCTGTGTCTGTCAGCTGAGAGACAGACAAATTCTGATTTAGACACCTCGAAGCTGAAGAGTTTGGATTCTTCCCGAACAGTCATGACAAAGATTAGCCTGTAAGTAATAAACCAGTTTATCTTGTTCTTGTGGCTGTAATTTTGCTTGTACCTGTGTTTAGAATTCTATGGAAATGCTAGCTGTGTATCTGTTATCTGTCTAAATTGTTTGCAGTTAAAAATTGTTTGCCCTTAAAAAATATGTTACCATAACTAAAGCTACCACTTAACAAGCACTGTAGTCTACATGTATTAGGAAAATAATCAATTTTTATTTCTTTAAAAATTGATAGGGAAGGTCTTTGTCACATCCACTATATGGAATAATTTAACATGTATAAAAACTGCTCAGTCATCATCGTTGTGGATCAGATTAATTCATCTGTCATTGACCTTAATTAATTTTTTTCTCATCAAATCAGAATGTGGTTGAAGATTTTTTATGTGAAAATCGTTTGAATTAGACATGTATTCAAGTTTTCTATGAAACAGCCTAAGTTCTGCTGTTATTTTATGAAGAAATGTAGCATGCAATGTAAAACTTGATTGTTCAAATGATATGATAGATCACATTCCAAAGTTTTGAATACATACAGCTGCTTTCTTAAGTATGTGCAGGGTGAATCACTTAAATTTTGATGCATGTGAATAACATCAGATATTTGCAGAATGATGCATATATTAGTTTTCAGTTTTTGATTTTACACTTGAAGAAGCTGTCTCTGTCAAAGAGGCGGTCAGAGCTTCACTTAGGATTGTAAAGAAGCAGCTGTGTTTATAAAGTTCACTGTTATCACCAGTTGAGGCCAGTGATTGATTACTGGGGTACTGTTGCATTCTCATCTACAGGCAATGATTTGTTTGCATTATTCACTTCTATTGTTTGGTTGCCACGGCTGTGGGCTGTGTGCTGTTGCACTCCTCGTTCTGACATGTTCAGTTGTAGGTGTGGGGGCACTCTGAATCCTGTAGGGCCACCTGAGGTACACTGAGTGTTGATAATTGTCCTTGTGTTAGAGGGACGGGAAGGTTCAACATGATGGTTTAAGAGACACGTCTGTTTGCAATTATGCTTCCCACATCTGAGGAGCACAGGAGCAATTTCCTTTGCACAATTTGTAATACTCTACACCTGAGTCCTTAATTTGTTACTTAAGTTTGAAAAGCCTAGTACTGAAAGTTAAACTGTGGCATTTTTGTACTGGGTGATGCCTTGCCATCTGGCAGTACAGATCACAAATCTTAAACTCTTGAGTTTGTATCTTTGCAGCTTCAAAGGAAAGGTAGCTTTCATATTGTTTTTTTCTGTGTATCTCCTGGGCTTGCTGTACAGTGAATTATCTTTTACTGTACTTATAAGTAACAGACAAGTGTCCTGTCTGAAAGACCGAATTTTAACAATAAACAACCTTTTCTATTTCATCCCTTTTTGTGGGGTGTGTGACACAGTGACTTGGCTTTATCTGCTGCTATAGGAACTTTAGCCTTGGGTGGGGACTGCCGTGTTGCCTGCAAGGTTTCTGATGTGTCTGATAGCTGTCATAGCACAGCACCACACCATTTCCTTAGCCAGAATTACATGCTCTGGTTATCTGGTATTATTTAGAGTCATTCATTAGAACATATGAACTATAAACCTGGATGGGTATTTAGGTGCTGTAAAATGGGAAGGGGAAAGATAGTGCCATTACTAGAAGATGGTGTGTTTTTATTCTCCTGTTATCAGTGTGAACAGATAAATTTTTCATTTTCAAAGGTCAAAAAGGTTTTTTTAATAGTTCACATTAATTCCTTTCTGGTTGAAAAATACCCATTTACTTAGAGATTCCTGGGCCCCTTGTAAGATGGATTTTATATAATACAAGTAGTTCTCCCTTAAAAATGCATGATATCTCTTACTAATGACATTGTGCCATTCCCAGTTCTGGGAATCAGGTTTCTTTTGGAAGCAATTTCAAAACAGGTTAGTTTCTCTAGTCACCTCCAGAAATGCAGGCTTCCTGTAAATAAAGATAGCATTTTCCCTCTTTTCTCCATTTATGTCTGTGTATTGGACAACTTGAAAGTCACAGGATACTTTGCTTCTAGCTTTTGAAAGGGAAACCTGTCAGATTTGAGTCTAAAATGAGGTTGATGGTAAATCTTAATTGGCAAATAAAACCTCAGGCAGCAGTCACTTTGATGTGCTTAGCGGAAAACTTGGCTTCAGTTGTCATACTTTATGTTCAGGCATGGTTTTGTAGTTGCTTTACATTTAAGCTCACTTGTTGAATTATTCTTCTCTTTTCACATGCCATTTTTCTTTGCTCACCTCAATCTGATATTTTGGCATCAGTGTTTTTTTGGCACCACTTGCAAGCTTGATGGGTGACTCACCTTCCATTTTTGACTGTTGGGAGAGGTTTTACTGCTTGCTTCCACAGTTTAGCTGCAAGGTGTAACCACAGAGAAGGACATTGGTATTTCTCTTGTGCCTGCTTGTTCCTGGTGTTGCAGATCAGTAGGAATGAGCCACACTGGACTCTTTGTAAGAAAGTGTTTGTGCTGTTTTTTCCCCATACAAGATGGAAGGCTTAAAGGACATTCAAACAACATTTCCTTTTAAACATGCTTGGAGACCCAGTTCTTGCAATTGAGTGCATCTTTTGGCTGTATTTAGAACCTGTATTTTGTAGTGTGGAAAAAGGTGTAATGAAAAGATTAGAAGAGGCCAGCTGTAGTGAGTGGAGCTGCAGGTCTGAGCTTTCTCATGCTCTTTGGTCTCAGCTGTTTGGCTGCTGCTGCTGTGCAGAAGTACTGCAGAATACAAAATACAAAGTGTTGAAGTGGTTGTTTCTGCATAAATTTGCAAAGCTTGAAACTATACCTTTGAGGGGTGAGCTTTTCATTTAAAAGAGGTTTTAGATGTGGCTGATAAGTATCACTGTTAGCCCTTAAACTTGCTTGTGTCAGGGCATACAGAGAGACACAGATTTTTATGGGGAAATGCATGTTATGTTGAAATAAATGCACGTACTATTGCAAGTGATGGGCTGACAAAGGGTGGTATGGGAATGCATTTGTTAAGATAATTGGGCCATTAGTGTTATCTCTTGAAAATACAGGTAAAAGGAAAGGATAAGTACATTTTTCTTCTGATCAGAAAGGATATGAAAGATCCTGGTGAGGAGGAAATTCAGCACGTGTCAGTAGTGCATCATTGTACCAGGTGAAGGCTCCATAGGCAGGAGCATAGCCAGCAGGTCTTGGTGCTCATGGGCTACATCTGGGTCACTCTGTTGAGTTGCAGCTCTTCCTCCCCTTCCAACTCTCTTCTGATGTAAGAGAGATGTTCCCAAATCGGAATGAGTCCAGCAGTGAGCCATTAAAGAAGGTGACAGCTCTGGAGCAAAGCTTGTATGAGGAGAAGCCGAAGCAGCTTGGTTTCTTCAGCTGAGAGAAGAGAGGGATGCAGATAAACCTCTGTCATCTCTCACTACCTATAGAGAAGGCAGAGCCAGATTTGTCCCTGAGATGTTAAGGCACAGCAGCCACAGCTGCAAGTTGTAGCAGTGAAGCTTTAATGGGACATAAGACAAAAATAATTCACAGCAACAGTGGCTGCCCTGCTGCAGTGCTTCATGAGGAAGGTTGTGAGATCTTGACCCTTGAAGTTATTCAAAACTTGGTCAGGCAAAGCTTTCAGGAACTTGATCTGACTTTGAAGCTGTCCCTGTTTTGAGTAGGAAGTTAGGCTAGCTGATCTTCAGAAGTCCCTTGCAACTCATAGTCATTTTCCAAAGAGAAAAGTTAGAAAATAATTTAACTTTTAAAAGTTTAGGAAAATCCAGTTGTAGTTCAAATGAAAAGTAGTGCCTCAATATATTTAATTTTATTCTCTGTGATAGTTCCCTTCATACCTTCCCTCTTTCAGGAACATTTTGGTTTTCTGTTTTTCCTTAAGTTTTCCAAGTGTGTTTTATTAGCACCCATCTGAAGTATGGCCAGTGGATTTTAAGTTTGCTATTTCTTCTTTTATTGATCATGCATTTTTCATAATTCTTCATAAAGTTCTGAACTAGCTTGAGTAGGCTGGTAGTTAGAGGGAGCAGTGTTGGGAGGTCTTCTCTGAAATCACATGATGACAAGAAGGACATGGAACTGTGGAGCAAATCCAGAGCAGGGCACAAAGTTGATAAGAGGACTAAAACACTTTCCCTATGGAGACAGGCTCAAAGAGTTGGGGCTTCACAGGGAAGAGAAGATTGCACAGAAACCTCATAAAAACCTTCCAGTATCTGAAGGTGGGGGTCTACAGGGAAGCTGAAAAGGAGCTCTTTGCCAGGAACTGTAGTGATAGGACAGGGAGTACTGGGTACAAACTGAGAGACAGGAAATTTATGCTGGATATTAGGAAGAAACTTTTTACTGTGAGGGTGGTGAGACACTACGAAATGTTGCCTGGGTAGCTTGAAGATGCTCCAACCCTGGCAGTGCTCAAAGCCGGGTTGGAAAAGCCTTTGAGCAACCTGGTCTAGTGGGAGGTGTCCCTGCCCATGCAGGGGAGTAGAGGTTAGATGATCTTTTAAGATCCATTGCAGCCTCTTAATAGTCTATGATTCTATGATTTTTAACAGTTGCTCCCTGTATAGATTTGTAGATAACTATTTTTGAATCTTCCTGTTATTTCAGTAAGTTTGTTCCTCATGGTATTCCCAAGAAATAAAGCTTGTACAAGGAGAGTCTTGCATTAAAAGGGTTTAATTTCTTACTTGGGATGGAACACTTGAGGAAGAGGGGAATGGATCTCATATTTTGGGTTGTTCCTATATCTCACACCTCTTTCTTGGGCTGAACAGCTGTCTGAGAACTTAGTGAACACAGTTTGTGTAGGTAAAAGAAGAAGAAAGCACTTAAATGCCAGAATCATCCATTGATTGGTAGAGCATTTGGGACCATGGAGATTGCTGCAAGCTATTTTCTTTTCATCTCCCACCTTTGTCAGTTTTCATGTAGGCAGTTTCTACGTGTCCTCCTACTGCTGTGTCCCCAGGTTCCTCTCTGGAGAGCAGGACTGTCTTGGAGGTGATGGTGGGCTCCTTGACACTCCTTAGATCCAACTGATTAATTTTTAAGCCATCTGCCTTGCATCTTCACAGCTGTGCATACTGTACAGTATGTAGCAGCAAGTTACATGGACAAATAATTTTTTCTAGTTGTAGGTATTCAGAGAAAAGAGCTTGAAACACTCAGCTGTGCCTTCTGCCATAGCACAGGAGTACTGTGTGCATGTACTTGTATGTGCCTCTCTGTCCACTCTGATAGAAACGATTTGTGTTTCCAAATTCAATTCTTGTAAAATTATTAGGCTTAGTTTATGCAGTTTAAATTGTTAGCTAAGTTTACATGAAAGAAGTGGAAGAGTCCTCACATGTGGTGTTTGCTTAGCCAAGGTGGTGATGCAATGCTTGGGGACAGCTGACATTTTCTGCACTCATGAGAGTGGAAGAGTTTCCAATTTGAGGTTGCTTCTGCAGTGTAGGTGTAAAAGCTGCAAAGAATCTGGTCAGATGTCTTCAAAACTCAGTGGAGAGAATATGTAAATGTTAACCAGCTCATTATCACCTTAATGAATTGGGATTTGTTTTCTAAACTCTGTAGGGAATTGCATGTTTATAATTTATTCTGCCTATTCAGTACTAAATGTTAATGTCTGTCAGTCATAAGTAGTTGAGTTCTCTGCCTCAATTGCAGATGCTGTAAGTTGCTGTGTTTATTTTACTAACCTTAAAGAACTAAGTACATGTTTGAAATGCATATTCCTTATTTAGTGTCTTAATTTTTTAAATCCATATAGTTACTCTCTTTTAGTTGATTCCTTTTGAGATATCAAAATTTGAATTAAGTCTGTGGTTTATAATTCTACTTTTTGTTGTTTTGAAAATTGTTACAAGCCTGTTCAGTATTAATTAAAAGATGTCATTCTGTGTCACTTTGCCTCCTGCAGTCCAGCCAAACCGAAGAACATAGAGCTGAATTTTAAAACACCTACGAATCAAGACAGTTTAGAAAGTGAGCAGGACACTCTTGAAAAATCAGTTAATAAAACTAACAGCAACATTGCCAACAAAATTTCCTTGTTTGAAAACAAATGTGCTAGCCAGAGCCAGAGACCTACTGACATCCCTGCTTCAAAAAATAATGCTGTACCAAGCACATTTGTTGGCAGAGCAAAGCTGAAATTTGGAAAACAACCTAAAGAAAATGAGCAGCCTGATAAAACATTAAATAAGCAAAGCAGTCGCCAGAAGTTATTTGAGAATGGGACACTGGAGAAAGAAAGCACTGCAGAGTTCAAAGGCAAAAATGGAGAAATCTTTACCTCTTATGAGGATATTGGGAAGACAACAGAACTTAAAGTAAAAGCTGCCATATCCCTTTTTAACCAAAGCAGCAAAAGTGATGGTGGTGGTATTTCTCTGAAGCAACCAGAATCAGAATTAACCACAGCAAAGAAAGAAAATTCACCTTTTAAACTGCCTTTGCACTCACCTGTAAAAACTGAAAATGCTAGAGATCCTTTCTGCCAAAGAAATTGCACAAGCTCAGAATTCCATAGAAATGAAGAAAAAGTGCTGCCAAACACAGAGGCTTTATCACCGTGCAATGATGATAAATATCCTCTACCATCTCAGGTGTCCAGATCAGAATTTAAGAAGATGGAAAATGGAGACAAAATGGTAAAGCCAGGAGATTTGAACTTTACACCACTGCAGTATGATGACAGTAATCAAGACAGTGTATTGGAGTCAGAGCACAACAACAACACACAAAAGAGCCCAGGGGAAACCTGTAATGGATCTGCTGAAGACGACAGCATTTTTGATTCCCCATCTGACATGAAGAAATTTGCTGAAACAATAAAAAACTTGGACAGCTCAGTTTGTTTACCCCAGAAAAAGAAGAGGTCAAAGCTTCCCAAGTCTCCAGCGCCCCACTTTGCAATGCCTCCCATTCATGAAGACAACTTGGAGAAAGTATTTGATCCTAGTGTATTTACTTTTGGTTTGGGACTGAGGAGGGAAAAAACACAGGATCTGTTACCAGCACAACAAATTAAAATGCAAAGCCTGGAAACAATAGCCAAAGTCAGGCCCAAGCGTGCATCAGCAGAGCAAAGTATTATATTCAAAGCTCTGCAGCCATGTCGAGAGGAACCTGTCTTTGCTCAGGAAATAAATGGGAAAGAGAACATTGACTGTACAGATAGTGAAATTAAGAGATCACGGCTTGAAAAAAGCTCCCTCTTCTCAAGCTTGCTGTCTTCTAAAGAAAAGTTTTTTGGCTCTTCTGTCGCTTCAGTAAATAACACAACAGCTTTTGCAACTGACTCCTCGGGGATGCCTCCTTTACAACAGGATGTTTCTGGGCCATTCATCATGCCTCAAAAATCTGAGGTAATAAAGATCATTCAGGAAGTGGAACAATGTTTGCTGACCTGCTGAATGACTGTTAATTTTGATTTTGCAATTCAGTCTCTTTCAGATGTGAAGTTTCCAAGTTTTGTGGAGAAGTACCTGCAAGCAGATAGTGCCAAAAAAGAACTAAGTTTACAAATGCCCAACTATGGCAATCCTGAGAAAAGTTTTTCGAGCTGGTTAGGAACAAGCAGATACGAATCAAATGTCCCCCCTGGTTTATTAGATGTGGATGTAAGTATTGTGCTTTTAAAAAGCTGCCTGCAAAGTTATCCAGCTTTTATGATTTTGATAGACAATGTGCATATATTGTTTTGTTTCCCCTCTTTGGGATATGTATATATGACAAATACATTGAGGTGAACTTAGGTATGGTACCAGTTTTATCTGAAAAGGAAAATGAGACTTTTTGCAAATATGAATGGAAAGCATTTTTTGAATATGTCTTCATACTTGATTTTGTATTATATTGAAACAAATCTTATGCTAACTTCAATTTTTTTATTGCAAATTAGTAGAATGCTTTCTGTGAACTTCAGAAAGCCTCTGTTGAAGTAACCTTTCTTCTCTTCCAACAAGACATTCAGCCATTGTACAGTTAAATAAGTAACAGAGCAATTTTTTTTTAGCTCTCTATTGTATTCCCATGTATTGGCAGAAAAATATATATATTCTTTAATAATATTGTTATGACTGGATAGTAGTGATTATTGAAAGTGCTGCTACAGTGTAGGGCTGTCCCTAGGTCTGATTACAAGCATCTGTTCTTCATGACTGAAGACAGACCTATGTTTTTCCCTCAAAGCAACTTTAATATGGAATATATTTGTAATTTCTGTTTTTAAAATAATGACTCAATTTCCTGTAGTATTTGCTATTTCTGTTAGTGTAAGCCCTGATTGTGACCTGAGAGGAGAACTATAAGCAGGAGATCTAAAAACCATGTGAAGAAATATGTTTTCTAAGGTTTAATGTAGCCACATGAACAGGACCTGTAGAATTGAAGCGGCATGTAAGAAGTTTGAGAAATACTTTCCAAAGCTAATGGTAATCTGCTATAGCAGTTCTAAAAGGAGCTCCTTTCTTTGTCACCTTGCAGGAGACAACCATCCATGGTACCTTAGAGTTCTGAGAATGTAGATTCTTCTTTTATGGGAAGTTTTCTTAATTAGAGTGGAGATGAAAATTAGGGGGTTATTTACAGTAGTGTAGATTTATGTTACCAATTAAAGAGGCTTTCTTATTCTGTTGGTCCTGCTTGGATTTAAAAACTTGAATTTAAAGCTAAGTGCCTAGCATTGTATTAGTTTGTTTTTTGCTGCTTACACTGTTTTTCTTGAGTGGGTTTCAATTTTGCAGTAGAATGTGGAGGTCTGATACAGCAGTGGAGTGTGTACATACCTAAGACTTTAGGCTTCATACCTAACCCTTTAGGCTTCAAAGGGTTTCTGGATTTCTGTGGCACTGCTGCTGACTGAAATGTTTTGCTCAAGTTTGGAATCAGAAATGTTTCTGTGAGGCGTACCTGCTGTGCATCTTCCACTGACTAAGAAAATGGTGATGCAATGGCTAGTGGGTGATGTGAAGGAAGCAGTAAGGGCAGCCCAAAACAATGACTTTGGCATTCCTCAAAACACAGAACAAGTTTTAACTGGAATTGAAGCGCAGGCTAAAAAATCAGTCATGCTTCAACATGTCTTGATGATGCCTACAAAAACCTGGTGGTGGTTAAGAAGTGCCTTGCGACCACTGCCTGCTCTGCATGTTAACTACCATGTTCTCTTTAATTCCTTGCACGTGTTGCTGGTTGTCTCTTTAGGCGCAGGATCTGTTTTTGTCTTTTTGTTTGTGTGAATCATTCCTAGAAGAGCAGGACCCTGTCCCAGAATGAACACTCCTATCCTTGCTAGGAAACCAAACACATAATTTCAATGCTTGCTTTATTGGTTTGAAGGTGACGTGATGCAACCACAACTTTCCCATATATTCTATATCATACAATTTACTGCTGACTTCAGCATTGTTTTAGATTTTGTATACCTCCATGTTTTAGTTGTTCTGAATATTTTTAGTTTATCACTTAGTGCTCAGTCTCATGCTCTTTGAGGAAACTTGTTACAAAATTGATTATGCTAGTTAGCTCATACATGTATGTACCATCATGCATCCTCAGTATTTTCATATATTTCTTAAAAATACACTGTGCTTTATGGCTTGACATTTTTAGACATTTCAACTCATCATTATTATTGTACAGCATGTATCAGTGGCAGCTTTTAAAGCAGTCTCTTGGTATTGAAGTCCTGGGCTATGTAGGAACATTATCAGGATGATTTTAAAGCATTTCAGATCTGAGGTTAGTCAACTTCAGTGAGATGATAATTCAGAGTTTTTAAAAAGTGTATAAATTTATGCATTTGTGACAAGATGGTGCTCTGCAAGGGGAAGTAGAGATTGAAGTGGTAAGTAGGTATAGTTAAAAGGTTACCAATCTTTTACTATTCAGAGTATTTTTTATTTTGTTCTACTAGCCCTTTTTCTATACCTGAGTATCTTTATTGAAAATGCTTTTGACTTTGTGGGGGTTTTTTTGTGATTTTTTTTTTCTCTTCTCACTGTCTATTAGACACTTCCAAGAAATGGACAAAGTAAAATCAATCCCAGACCTGGCAAGGTAAGATCAATTTAAATAGTTTTAGTGTTCCTTTCTATATTTAAAGCTTAGGAAGATAGAATTATATGTTACTGGTGTGTTTTTCTGTTTTGTTGGATTTTTTTTAACACAGCTGGTGATATACTGTGACTCAGAGTGTCAGAAAGCTGGCATTGAAGTTTTCCATGATGTTCCAGATTGCAGTTCTTGGGTTCTGTCACCAACAATTTTAGTTAAAGTCATCAGAGGATGGTAAGACATCAATTTTTACTTTTTATGCAAAGATTTTTACTCTGTCCAAGAATGTTTTGAAGCAGAACTGGCATGTGATTCACAGTAAGTCTGGCTTGTAACAATGCAGAGCTGTGAGCAAGAAATAGGGCATTTTACCTCTGCAGCAGGAAGTTCTGAGCTGGAAAACCTATTTCACTGACTAATTGAGTGAGTGTCAGCATCTGGCAGGGTGTGAGATGTCACCAGGCATAGGTGTGGGATGAAATGACAGATTCTGTTCATGCCCTTCAATTCCTCTGGTCATTAGGGATTCTTGCCTAGTATTTGGATTGGGCTAAAAGGCTAGAGAATATGTTTAAAGCTAGCTCTTACATAATGATGTCATGACCAAAGGAATAGGATGGTGCTGTAGAGATAATTGACTGTTTCTCTGACAAAAGGAGGGATTTTGCTCTAAAAGCTGTATTGCCCAAGAGTAATTCAAAGCAAGTTCATCTCCTGCTTTCTTCATAGCATCAACAGAGGGGCCATTAGCAGTGTGGCTAGCACAGCAAGTTGTGCTGTGGCCAGGCTATAATGCAGTCAAATAGCAGGTTCTCAAAAGTAATTATCTGATAGAGAGGTGCAGACACAAGGGCTAGCCACAGTAGGAGGTACTGGGAAGCAAACTGATTGCTGTTTAGCTTCAGAAAGCTGGAACAAAAACCTTTTGATCTCTGTAAACCAGGTTGTCTTTGCTAGCATGGTCTAGAGGGACTGGGTCTGAGGTTTTTCCTCTTTCCATTGAGAGCCTGAGCGAAGGATTTGTATTTGCAGATGGATAAAGTTCTTATTTAGTTATTTATTCTGTTCTGCCATTAAAAATGAAATTGTCCTTGTCTCCTGAGCAGTCTTACAATCCTCTGGAACATCTACCCCAGCTCCTGTGGAACTCCAGGCTGTTGTTCACAGGATCCAAGCAACTTGTCTGTTAATACACGATGCAGCAGTCTGCAGTGTCATTGTTTTCTCTAATGTACAAATTGGTTCTGATTAGTATTTCATACAATAAGTCTGGTGTTCAGAGATAGTAGTCTTTGCTGCCCCAAATCATCAGTTTTATAAGGTGGAGGAGTTTTTTGTGAAAGTACAATTTAACAGTAGACATTTTTGTTTTTATCATTGTTTTCAAAGTATCATAGAGACTGAAAATGGCTTGAATCAGCTGTGTTGGGTAAATAAGGTGTATTGGGGAAATGGCAAGGGTTTGGAAACTGTACTGTGTATGAAACGGTTTGTTAAGTGGGATCATGATTTTTGCCAATCACACTTGATAAAGCACCATGAAAAATTTGATTTCTAAAATTTTATTTTAAGCTGGATACTCTATGAAAAACCAAATTTTGAAGGCCCCTCTATTCCATTGGAAGAAGGAGAGTTGGAACTCACAGATATTTGGGGTGCAGGTGCTTCTGAAGAGCAAAGTGACTGCACATCTCAAAAGCCTGCAGTAATTGGTTCAATAAAACATGTTGTTAAGGCAAGTAATACAAGTAAAAATTTTTTTAATAGATCTTGATGTATAGTGATGTTTTATACTGCTAGAGCATGTGATTGGTCTATTAGGACACAAGTGTAACATGAGCTACAAGTGCATGAAACAATATTCTATGTTGAATTTCCTGTTTAACCAGAAAATGCATGTGGGGGCTTCTGTGCAGTGGGGCTTGTGGTAACATCAAGAGGAAGGACGGGGCAGGAACAGAACTTGGTGGGCTTTATTAGAATAGCCACCAAAATGCTGCATTCAGCATATGCTTTGTAGTCTGGTCAGTGTCAGGAAAAGCGTCCCAGAAAATCACCAATAATTTGGTATTTTCAAACTAGGGCTTTTTCTATTTTTCCAATACCAAATTTGCACTCAATACAGACTTCATTGTGAAACACCAAACTTTGGTTTGCCTGGTATGGGCAAACTTACCAGTGAGTTTCACATGATGGAACATCTTTTCTATGCACTTTTAACCTACCATTAAGTAGTTGCAATTGCAGGTTACCAAAACAAGCACAAGCCATAAAGTTATTTGAGTAGGAAAGGAAAAAGGAGGTATATTGCTTGTAACTACAATTCTTGTTTAAGTTGCAGTTCTCTTCAAGGATGGCTTGTTTAGTATTATCTTAGCATTTAATTTGCTAGAGGAGATGTTAACTGATGAAAGAAGATGCATTCCTGCCTAGATGGCAGAAAGTAAACAATGTAAATGCTGATTAGAGATTGACTGACTGTCTTGCTTCAAACAGAGACAGGCAAACTGGCTTAGCTATACTTTTATTATAGGCATCTAATAGCAGTAGCAATTGACAAGGGGGGGAAACAATTTAAAATAAACAGGTGTTTAAAAACTGATTTAGTTATGCACAGTAATTATAGAACTCCCAGCACAGATCAAGTGATTATGGCAATCTTCATTTTTCAGGATTACAGGGTTTGCCGAATTGATTTGTATACAGAGCCTGAAGGGTTAGGAATCGTGACTTCCTTTTTTGATGACACTGAAGAAACAGGGGTGTTTGGAACCACTCAGAAGACTTGTTCTATTAAAGTGCATTGGGGCATGTAAGTATGCAGCTCTGTATGAATGTGGAGTGTGATGACAGGAATTTGATTTAAACCATTGGTTACACCTGTCAGACTCGTGAACAGGCTGTATTTATTCTAGTCCTATACTTTGGCAGTCTATTTGTTGACAGTAGAGTTAGTACATCACTGTAATGCTTCACTCTTGGGGAGTCTGACCTAGAATGTTTTGTTAGAGCTAGATTTTCTTCTGCTTGCGTGTAGTAAATACTGAATAACCCTTGTGTATTTGTAGCCAAGGAATGAGTTTGCCTCTTCTGCTTTTTCTCATTCAGCCAAACTTAACATAAGTGAGGGTGGGGAATGGATTGTTATAATAAGACCACATTTCCCACTTGCTTTCTTCTAAACTTGAAATCATCCAAAGAAGAAAATTTTTGAAGTCCTTATAAACTAAGACTTAGTGCTTTAGAGTCTCCACACGTGACATTGTTGTACTTCACAGTGCATTTTGATCTGGGCTTTTATGGTGATGTGTAATACAAAGAGGTTATGTCGCATGAAAATATCTGGCCATCTGAGTTAGGAGAGTAATATTGTGAACTAAGCAGGCTTTTATGAGAAAGGAGACCTCTAAGGAGCAATCCAGGTGCTGTACCAGTATTAGTTTTCATGTCTTAATAAAGAAACTAGTAAAAAAGTAGTACGGGGAGAAGTATGCAGAAGAGAGAAAGAAGCTTCTTTCAGAAAAAGTGAGACTGGAGCCACTTCCAGTTATCCTGCAGAACTTCTTATAGGGTGTACAGACCTTGGTTGTTAGCTCTTATGTTTGGGCACTTATAGCACTTGCCTTGCTGCAAATAGTCTAACTATCAAAAACTGCCTAGCTGAAGGCAAGTGTTACATATCACTTTTTATAGAAATATGTAAAGCAAAGATGTTTCAAATCTACCACATGATATACAGACATTTTTGTTGTTAGGCAAAGGATATTTTATCTGAGTAAATATTTACACCTTGATTTGTGGAAAAAAATGAAGCATTTTGGTATGTAGGCAAATTTGAAAATGTCCAAGTAGTTGGTTCTCTGACAGGAAGTTATTTCTGGTGAACAGCAACCTCAATCCAAATTACATGTCTTGCAAGAGTAAGGAAATCAGGTGTGTTATTTGCAGGTTAATTGTTAATTCACTTCATCTATGTCTCCATTTTATTTCTGTCTCACTTAAAAGCTATCTGTGACCAGTAAAATTACAGGTTTTTTTGGAAGAAGGCAGAGCCTGTGCACATCTGAGTTGTCTTTATTTTGCATTAGTGTAACAGCTTGTTTTACTAAATCCACGTGAGCTCTTGCTGCTTTAATATCTCTCTTGCAGTTGTATCCCTGAAGGAAAGCAGACTCATATTTTCCCCAGGAAGTGAAATATACTATTTTTCAACTGTCTTTCTCAGATATCTGCTTATTAGTACAGTGTAGAAAGAAATCACTTCCATGAGAAGTTCTGCAGAGGGCTGCTGCTTTTTTGTATGTTGCAGGGTTAGGGGATTTTTTGCCTTTAGTTTACAAGCATGACATAGTTCACTGTGTTGGCAGGTGAGGGAGGTTCTGATTCTGAGTCACCTTGCCATGTGGGTGTGGTTGTATCATCTTAAAGTTTCCCAGTGTTCATGCTTAATTGCTGTTTGTTAAAAGCTGCCAACAAAAATGAGTCAATGCACCTTTATCTTCTGACTGTACTCTCCTTGTTCTTCCATGTGTGTCAGTTCTTGCAGTGAAGTTAGTCATAGAATCCCTTAGGATGGAAAAGGCCTTGTAAGACCATCCAGTACCACCATTAACCCAACACTGCCAAGGCCACCACCAAACCATGTCCCCAAGCACCACTACTGCACATCTTTTAAATACCTACAAGGATTGTGACTCCACCACTCCCCTGAGCAGCCTGTTACAGTGATTAACAACTCTTTCAGTGAATTATTTTTTCCTAATATCCAATCTAAACCTCCACAGGTGAAGCTTGAGGCTACTTCCTCTTGTCCAGTCACTGCCTGGCTACAACCTTCTTTCAAGCAGTTGTAAAGAGCAATGAGGTCTCCCCAGAGTCTCATTCTTTCCAGGCTGAGCACCTCCAGCTCCCCCAGCCATTCTTATTAGACTTGTGCTCCAGACCTTTCACCAGCTCCACTGTCCCCTTCTAGACATGATCCAGCCCCTCAATGTCCTTGGTGTAGTGAGGGGCCCAAAACTGATCCTGAAACAGCATTTGAGATGTGGCATCACCAGTGTTGACTACAGGCGGACAGTCATGCCCTGTTCCTGCTTCCGCACTGTTGCTGACACAGGCCAGGATTCCATTGGCCTTCTTGGCCACCTGGGCACAGCTGGCTCATGTATAACTGCTCTTGACCAGCACCCCCAGGTCTTTTTCTGCCACGCAGCTTTTCAGCCACCCTTCCCCAGTCCTGAAGCACTGCTTGGGAATGTTGTGACCTGGCACTTTCCCATGTTGAACCTCATCCCATTGGCCTTGGCCCATTCATCCAGATCCCCCTGTGAAGATTTCTTACCTTTCAGCAGATCACCCAACTTCTCCCACCCAGCTTCTTGTCATCTGCAAAACAGCTGAGAGAGCATTCAATCCCCCTCATCCAAATCATTAATATTAAGGTATTAAACAGAATTTACCCCAGTACTGACTGAGCCCTTGGAGGTAACCATGTGTAACCAGCCACAAGCCAAGGGTTTACTGAGTGGTGTGAATATGGGGCACACCATGTATCAAACATTCAGCTGCAGACAGTAATGAAACTAAAGCACCTTACTTGTTTCTTGGAGCCATGTGTCTGCAATGAAACCATACCAATCTGAGTCAGTTTATATTAGCTTGGAATCTCCCTTTAAAGGGAACAGTGATCTTGTTCCTGAAGTAAGCATATTGTCTTGTTCTTTACTGCTCAGAAATGTTCTGGGGGTTTTATGTCTTACTTTTGTCCCTCTACCCCTCTACTTCTAGATGGCTTCTTTATGAAGAACCTGGTTTCCAGGGAGTCCCTTTAATGTTGGAGCCCGGTGAATATCCTAATTTATTATTCTGGGAGAAGAAGGAAGCCTACATTAGGTCCATGAGACCCTTGAAAATGGTAAACTACTGCTACTACTTATAAGTTAAATGACCTATGTTTATGTGTTAGAAATAATGTATTAAGGTGGTTAGATTTGTCAAGACTTAGAAAAATGTAACTCTTTAAAAAAAAACCTATGATTTTTGGTCTATAAAATTCTTGAACCTACAACATTTGATTTCATCCATCTTTGCCATTAATCTGCCATTTATTTTCACTTGCACTCTTTAAGGAATATTTAATCTTAGTCCTGACTTTTTGCATAGAATTGATTCCTTGTAGAGACATCTACCAGTGTCTAAGTCATGAACAGCTTAATTTTTTCTTCTTTTTCTTCCTTTAACAGGGTGGTCGCAAAGTTGAATCCAGTGGGGAGCCAAAGGTAAAAGTCAGTATGTGTTGATTGTCCAAAGTTGTTTTACAGCACATGAACTACACATGGGTAGATAAGTATGCTTTGATTGGATACTGATGCTTTACTGGATAGCCCTTTTTTATGTGACCACACCATGAAAATACAACTTCTGTTACATTTCTGCATCCCTCACATGCATAAATGACAGTATTAGCAGCAATCCAGATGATGCAGATGGGTAATGAATGCTCAAGCACTCGCCTTGCATCTCTAGTGGAAAGGCCTCTTGTAGAGGAGAGAGAGATCCCACTAGTTCATTTCGTAATTTTGAATTCTCCCTCTATGTGCCCATGCTAAAGAAACTGTCTGTTGTCAGAATTCATCATCCTCCCTGCAATTTTTCTTTTCCTTCATTTCTACTCCAGGTAATTGTTTATGAGAAGCCTTTCTTTGAAGGAAAGCATGTGGAAATAGAATCGGAGGTCTTTATGCTTGATGACAAAGAATCAGAAGACAAGACAAGACTTCCACTTACATCAGTGGGATCCATGAAAGTACTGGGAGGAGTGTAAGTGTGGAAAAGTGGTATTTATCCTCCAGCTGAAGTAGTAACTCCATAGGCTGGAAGTTGCAGTGGACAAATCCAGTTCCTGTTTATTTTGTTTTTGTAATTTTTGGGTTGAGGTATACACCAGGGTTAAATTTGAAATTCACAGCAAAAGAATAAATATTACATATCTATATCTGCTCCATGAAAACGTGGAGTGTCACTTGTCTATTTTCATGTTCGGACTCTGTTGTTGTTGTTGTTGTTCAGCTGGGTTGCTTACGAGAAGCCTGGGTTTGAAGGCCACCAGTACCTGCTGGAAGAAGGAGCGTATCGGGATTGGGCAGACTGGGGTGGCTACGATGAGGAGGTGCAGTCCCTGCGACCAATTGTTGGTGTAAGTTCCAAGAAGACACAGCAGGCATCTCCTGAGTGCTCTGAGATGTCATGTGGCACTTTCCTTATGGTGCTCCTCTTTGTTTTAACAGGACTTCACAAGCTCCCATATGATAATGTACAGTGAAAAAGACTTTGGATCAAAGGGTTCCAATATCAACGTGTTAGGTATCATTTCCAATTTGAAAGACACTGGATATGGGCTGAGGACACAGTCTATAAATGTGCTAAGTGGCGTGTAAGTGCTATTTTTATTCATTCCTTCATTTTAGATATGCTGGTCTTCATAGAAATTGATGGTGTTTGCAGCTGTTTTTTGGGACTCTGACTTCTATATGGAGTCTTCAGATAAAATTTTCTGCCCTTGACCACAGAATGTGAAAAGTAAAGTTTTGGTGAATATGTACAGTAAATCATCTTTCTTCTTACAATAAGATAAGATAGTCCCAGGAAGCATTGACTTTCTGATACACAGAGTATGAAAGTATGAGATGAGATTCCATCAGGAGAGGAATAGCTTGTTCTTGTGGCTGCATTTGTTTGAAGCATTTCAACAGCAAAATTGTTATGGAAATAGTTTCCAATTTTAAAACTAATTTCCAGTCTTCTTGCATTTGACCAGAGGTAGATTCCTTCCTCTTGTGTTTTAAATAGAGATAACTTTTACTCTGCTCACTAATACCTTCTGATACTAGGGAGAGTAACTGTTCTGAAAATTAACATTGTTTCTGCAGTGAATCCTGTAGGTTTAACAGTGGTTTAGTGCTGTGGTGTTGGTGTTTATTGTTTGTTTGGGGTTTTGTTAAACATAGGGTTCCCAAAAGTCTGTATTAACCCTGGCCATTTACAAACCACCTTCTAGTGCCATGAGTGCTATCACATGCAGTTGATCAGCTGATAGACTTTGCTGTTTGATTAGTCAAGTCCATCAACTGCAGATTGAGTTTCACAGCCTTGCGGGCCATATCAAATGCTGACAGATTGCTGATCTGCAGCAATCATGTCTGCAAACACACAAAATTAACTGAAGTACCAGAACCAAAAAAGCATGAAATGTACAGTCTGTCTCCCTGCCTGGTATGCATGCAGGTGACTTGCTGGAAGCTCTGCCTTACCCAGCCACGCCCAAAATCTTTCCTGTGTTATCTGTGCTATATCTCTGCAAGTTTTGTCTGGATAAAGGCTGCAGGATCAAGCTCAGTGCATTCCAGAGGAATGCTTTTAATTTCTATATGAATATGGTGTGACAGCAGGTTTTTTTCTGCCTGGTGGCCTTTGAAGCCACTGTGCTCTTTTGTCTTCTGTAATATGCAAGAGAGATTCCTGGGAAAGAGTCGTCTCTGAAGGTTGGGAAACAAATTGTGGGTTCCCTATCATGCCCTTCATGTAGTTGTTCTAGTAAATGTGTCTGTTGCATCTGAGATAGGAATCATACATGAGTTTGAGTGTTCTAGTAATTAAGAGTGGCTTTAACACTGATGGCAGAGGTGGCTAGAAGTCTTTATGAACAAAACTTGTACTACAGACTCTGCTACCACTTCTGTAATCTCACCTTGTAGACTCTAAAAGATGTAATTTGTAGCAATAAGGTTTTAAAAAATTCAGATGCATTGCTCATAACAGGTGGCTAGCACTCAGCTCTTGAGAGTCTTGCACAACCCCTCTGTTTCCAGAGGAGTTGTGAGTATTTGGGGGTTTTGTGGTGATCTTATTAAATGTTCAAGTGCCAGAAAGCTTGAATGATCTGTGTGAAGTCATGTTTGGCAGTACAGTGCTTTATTTTAAATATTAACTGTCTGTTCAGGTAGAAGATTTTTTTTATATCTTTCCTTCCAAGAAATCTGTCACGGGGCAATGAATAATCCATTGAGCAATTTCCTGAGCTGTTTAGGTTGTAATACAGATGATGACATTGTGAACTGTGATAGATTCAATAAAAGCTTGTCATAACATTTTGAAGTAACCTTCCTGGTATTATATTGAAAACGCTTAATTAAAATAAGTAAAAAATTTAAGAAGCCCTCAACCTTTCACTGCAATTTTTTAACTACAGGTATCTGGGGTAAGCAGTCTGAGCAGTAAGATAACAGATGATCTGTATTTCCCACATAATTAATTTGATGGCTCTCTAATTTAAAGGATATAGCAAAGAAAAGAAAGCCTGACACTGCAGTGCACAGGTACTGTGGAATGAGTTCTGAGCTCAGCTGCAGCTCTGAACTGTGTTGCTGGGACAGCCCAGCTCTGCATTTGGGGGGGTAATGTTCAATTTTGGGGTACTAGCTGCATTAAAATTTCTGAATTTCTAAATGTTTCTAAACATGTTTCCAAGCAATATTTCCATGTCTTTGCTAAATCCATTGTAAAGACATCCTGAAAAATATATCCCAAGGAGATGAGGATTGACTTCTTGAATAATGAAAATGTTTTGCTTTTGAGCATTTTTCAGATACTGCCAAAACATAAAATTCAAAAATTATTTTTCTGCCATTGGGATGGGAGAAAGCAATCCAGGCTGCCTGGAAATAGGACGGGCCTTTCTTCTTTTAAGTAGGGTTTGAACTTTACTTTCAAATGGACAGAATTTGAAGTGGCGGAAAATTGAACTATTTACTAGCAACAGGTAACACCCTTTACAAGTTCAAACAAGTACTAAAATCAAGTGTTGTACTATTTTGATTTCCCCTCTGCTTAAAAACTCCTTCAAGCTTTTATTTATTAGTGATCAAAATCACAGGAACTGCATGTTTGAAATGTGCCTTTTCTTTATCCATAAACACACCAAACTTTTGCCAGAACTCCTGAAGAAGGTCTTGTCTTTTAGTCGATTCCCTTTGAACTTGCTGGAAGAATTTTCCCAGATTTGTTTATTTTATGTAGTCATCTGTTTACTGTGGTTGTGTTATCAGCCTGGTTTTCCCCTAGATTTCAAGTAATTAATCCACAATGTAGATTTTGGTTGCTGCTAGAGTATGTATGGATAGTGAGTGATATTAAGGAAATAATTAGGTAATGAGTGGTTCACATACAGAAACCAGAAGATAGTAAATTTAACCTAGATGCACTCAGGAGGGTAACATGAGTGAAACTGGAGACGCAAGGTACAAAAACAAACCTTCACTGGGAGCTGAAAAGGGCAAGTACCCTTGAATACTCCACTGGAGAGCACTTCAAACAAAGCTTTAACTTCTCTGTAGATCTGAACTGATGTTCAGAAAAAAATCTTTAAAGGAGTCATAAAATTAAAGCTTGCAGGTCCCTGGAATACTAAGAATCACAGTCACAAAGGGGCAGGATGAACCCGTTTTCTCTCTCCTATAAATACAATTTTATTACCTCATTCTATCTGTTAATATTGTACAAGTCTGCAAGTGCCAGTTAACTTTCTGACCTCCCTCCTAAAGTCAGACAAGGTGAGTCCTGGGCTAACTGAGGGCAAATCTGATTTTTGGTGAGCTACCCATATCTGGATTACTTTCTTGCCTGTACATTCAGGCTCTGTTTGGAGCTGCACTTCCTAGATGTCATACATAGAGGTTTTTGGAAAAAGATTTTCTGTGTGTAATAGTACTGACAATACATAATCAAAGCTTTATGCTGCTTCTGGTTCAGGTGCATGGATGGTGCCCAGGAGGAAAGGTCTCCAGCACCCTCCTGCCAGCAGCCTGGGATGGAGCTGCTGCTCAGCCTCATGAGGGCAGTTTGTGCATCTGGGGGTTACAAAATCTGTTGTGCCAGGAGAGCTCACTCCCTGTGGGAGTTGATGCCAGGATGGTTGCTGCCATGCTGCAGAGCAGCACTTCAGATTTTGTTGTGCCTGGCAGCTGGAGTGTGACTCTCTTGCTCAGCTGTGGAGGCAATATCTTGCTCTCCAGGCCTTTCTGTGAAGTCAGAAGTTGGATTAAGGCAGTGTGCTCCTTCCTAGGGATAATCTTGAGGTGTGGCAGGTTTAGCTGGTACTGAATTCAGCTGCCTGTGCTTGATGATGTTATTACTACTTTCAGCAGGTTATATGGGCTTCTGAATGAAGTGGAGAAGCATAAGTATTTCACCACTAAGCCCTAACTCTAGGAACTGTCTGACTTGCATAGAAGAGTGGCACTTAATTATTTAAATCTCATTTATTTAAATGTAAACATGTGGAAGTGAGATTCATTGATTACTTCTGCATTCAGGCTTTTAGATGGGGGAAACTAAATAACTGCTATCAAGGGGCTCAGGAGGCTGCTGACATGTCTTACAGTTCATTTTATATCAAAAACACTTGTTTGCATAGATCTCAATTGAGTAAAACTACTGTGCACCATAGCTGTATCCTGGCACTTAGCACTGAAAAATCTAATGAATGCCTGCTGAAGAAATCATTTAAGGAAACCTCATTTTCACTGCTGTTGGCATATGTGATATACAGGTATAGACACACCTGAGACATTTGAACTCTCTGCTCAATTTATTGTACATACCAATGTCTCTTTGATGAATTACTCTGAGGTGATTTTGAAATGGACCTTGAAATATGCCGTAAGTAATGAGTGTGTAACAGGTTGGAATAATTGATTATATCTGAGGCAAACCAAGAGACGTGAATAGTGATGTGTGTGATTCACTGTTTGAATGTTTGCCATGGACAAGTAAAACAAAGTTCATAGTCTTGGCACATACTTGTTGATGCACCTTTATTTCAGTTTGAAGTTATCCCATTTCTTGTATCTGCAGAGACTCTGGCATTTGTACCTGGAGTAAAACTGCAGCTTAGTAGAATCCAATTGATCAACTCACGTAAATTAATGGGGAATTTTGATGTTGAGAGTTACCTTCCCCTGCAGATTTTAAGATCTGTATCATTTTACTGCTTTGTGATATGAAATTTTTGCTAGTGTAGAAACTCAGTAAGTTTCTGAGCCAATTGAAAGTGAATTTTGGCATAACCTAGCATATACTCATTATGCACTACAGTGGCTAAAATTAAAAGCAGGTTGACTCTGAGTAGAAGTTTTTCTGGTAGAATCAGGAACCAGCAAGATGTCCTGATTCCTGCATAAATATGATGAATGAAATGCAGTTGCTACTGTGGTCTGATCTCATATGGGCACTCATAAAACAACCAAACAGATAAAAAAAGAGTTGTAAGTATGGGAAAGCTTGGGAAGTATGACAGTGAAAAGCAAGTCAAGTTCTGCAGGTTATCACAAAATCAAAGGTAGTATAGATGCAGGAAGTGCTTTTTTTGGGCTTTCAGTATGGAACCGGGTGAGAAGAACACTGTAATAGCAGATACATTGAATGTAGTATACTATTCTTAGCAAGACCAACTGATAGCAGATATTTAAGATTGGACCTAAAGACTGCAGGAATAATTGGACATCAGATATTTGTAGTGATTTGGTTGCTTTTCCAGTACTTCAAGTGTGTATCATGTCAAAAGTTGAAAGCCTTTCAAAAAGGCATATTCTGACTGAGACAGAAGACTTGATGCAGATCTCCGAGTTTGTGGTCTCTGTCAAGCATGAGATCCAGCTGAGTAGTTACAGTAATAGATTTGCATTTAAATACATTGATCTGGTCAATTTTGTGGTGGTTTTGGTGCTTAGCTTTCAAGGATATTCTTCTTGCTCTCTCTGCTGGTAAGGAACAGTCTCCTCTTGCTTAGCATATTTGCCTCTTGTTGCAGCTCAACATCCTGTTGGGGTGTGTATTTGCTTGAACACAACTGAGCTGTAGCTACAGGCAACATTAAAAGTCAGCATTGCTCTGAAAGTTAGTTTTGTTGAAAAAGCTATATTGTGATATCTGTCTGGTGGTGTTTTTTTTTTTTTTTGTTTGGGTTTTTTTGGGGTTTTTTTGTTTGTTTGTTTTGTTTTGTTTTGTTTTTTAAAGAGAAGACCTTGACCTTGGTAAAATAAGAGAATTGTAACCCATCTTGAAATATTCTTACTGAAGATAACTTTTAGGATATATGATGTGTCTGAACTTGTGCTTTGCTTTAGCTCGTTCACTCTGATTTGTATCAACATAGTGCAAGAAGGTAATAAAATTTGCATAGGGTTTGCACTATCAGATACACTGGTTTGTTTAGGGTTTTAACAACATCATAATTTGGCACTTCAGAAACTTTTTATTTGTTCTTACATTAAGACAGTAATGAATGTACACATCTGCATTTTGGTAAAGTAGTGTGACTTCTACCAACCAATCTCCTCTTCTTTCTCTTTTAGATGGGTGGCTTATGAGAATCCTGAGTTTACGGGGGAGCAGTATATACTGGCTAAAGGGCTGTATCCCAGCATTGAGGCATGGGGGGGAAAGAATTGCAAAATATCTTCAGTTCAACCCATTGTTATGGTAAGGAGCTAATTTTCTATTTGTTTTGCAAGTTTTGCTGAAGTATTTGGAACTCTACTTTTTCTATCAAATTCAGTTTATTTCCATTATTTAAATGATAATTAATAGTAAATTTTGTATGTTATTTTATCGCTGTTGAAAATATTTTTTCTCTTCTTTCCCCTCTAAACTTTTGCAGGATATTGTTGGAAGCGAAAGGGGTAAAGTCAAGGTAAGATATTTCTCTAAGCACATGAAACTGTGCATTGTCTGTAACATGTAAATAAAGAAGTGGCTGTTTGTCCAGGGGAACACTCAGGTATTTGCATAGATGCTGGCTAGTCAAAGAGTGAAAACTGCAGGTGGAGGAAGACTGCTTTCCAAACCTCTTGAGTAAGGCACATTAAGACCCAAGGAAGGTGGGATTTGATACACAATTGCCATCAGAACTTTCTTAGGTTCAGCAAGTGAGGTGTTTTGGGGTATCAGTGATTGTTTTATGGAGCTGGAGCCTGCAGCCCTCTATGCAGAGGTGCAGGACCTGAAGTCTGTTGCTGAGGTGAGGGCTCTACAAACAGATGATGTTTTGGTGAGGGCACTGCAGGATAGATGTTGTTCTTGTTACAGCTGACTTAATTTAATTCCTTGTGAACCTATTTCTTTGGTTAAGAGTTTTGCTAGTGGTGGTTGCACTTGAAGGGAGTTGTTCACTCACAAGTACTGCTGAGTTGTGCTTAAAAGTTAATACCATCTTTTGTCAATAACATAAGGGAAGGAAATGGCAGGGAGAACTTGTCTGTTCAGTGAGTTAGTATAGTTCTACATTAGATTGTCTCCTTTGTGCAAGTACTAATATGTAGTTTTGGCAGTGAGGCTAATGGGCAGCTTTTTTCATCTTTCCTAATTTCTGAACCTTTTCAAGTTTTCAGGTTTGTCCCTATACAAAGTTATTGTTATTTTTATTTTCATTTCAGTCAAAGTAGTGAGTATATCACAGCTCTAAAACCTAAGGAGACAGTTCTTAGCTGTCCTGGTTTGCTACTCCTGATTAGTAGCACGCTTCACTGGAATCCCCTGCATAGGGATAATGCATAAACTATGGGGAATAAAAATCTCAAGGCTGCTTATTTTTAGCTGTGTGCATGAAAAATTATTTGCATCTCTACATTATGTACCTATTGAGACCCTATCCTAAGGAAACACAGAAGTAGTGGCTTGCAGCCAACAGACTGCATCCATCGTCAGCGTGCTCCCCTTTGGAGAATGCTGTACCTGCCCACACTCCTGTCTCTATTAAGAGTGAATAAAGCTGGTAGGCATGTTGTAATGTGAATGACTTCTGTGTGATCATGGCTAATTATCCTCTAGCCAAATTAGCAAGTTTGCTGCTTGGATTTTTTTTATTTTTTTATTTTTTAATAGGGGCAAAACACTGGGGGATGTATCCTCTCTTATCCTTGGAGCAGAGAAAGAACTAACATGAGACTGTGTCTGTAGCTGTAATAGACCTATAAAGCCCATCTACCCTGGGAATATATACCATGCTTCTTGGCATGCTGTCTGAGTCCTTTGCCAGGATTATACACCATTAGTATTCTGAGAGGCAGGGAGTTTTCATTTATAGGAAAGAGTATGCATTTTGGAGATTAAGCAGATTAGTAATATAAAAGAAATCTTTTTTATGGCCTTTTAATAAAGGTGTGCCTATTCTGGCCATTCTTTGGGAATTTAAACATCTTACCCAGCAGATACACCAAGAAGATACACTTGTTATTGTTGTTTTAATTATTTTGTGTGTCACTAAGTGATTTACAGCCATAAGTAATTTTTGGAGTTGTTACCTTGCTCTCTTGAGCAAGGATTGTAACACTGAAGAAGTGACAAACATAGGTAACCAAGGAAGACTGGGTGTTATAAGTGTGTTTTTATGTAATTATAGAATTAATGGTAGAGATGTAATTGAAGCTAGAAGAATTAATTTCCTTAAATATGTTTATAACTTTTTAAAGGTCCAGTTATTTTCAGAGCCTGAATTCAAGGGTAACTGCCAAATATTTGAAAAAAACACAAGATGTATTGATTCATTTGCTGTGAAGTCTTCAAAAATTTTAGATGGCAGGTAAGTTATATTGAATGAATAATGCAAAATCACTAAAAGGGTGTAGAAATTTTAGAAAAGCAACCAGCTTTCTAACACATGAGGTGGTTTCATATATGGGGACTTAAGGAGAACAATGCTTTGCTGTTTGCACATTGATCTTTCAGGCAAAGCATTGTAAATAATGCATCTGCATTTTATGCATTTTACTGGCCCAGATGTCTTAAGAGGGAACTTTTTCTCCTTCTTTCTGCAGCTGCATAGTGTATGACCAGGAGGAATTCGCCGGTAACCAGTATGTGTTAGAAGAAGGGATCTATCCTGATCTGACAGCAATGGGTTGTTCACCCCAAGCAGTTCTAAAATCTTTACAGATCATAAATATTGTAAGTAAAACCTATTCCAAATATTGTAAAGATACCTTTTTTTGCAACAGAAAAAATTCTAGGGTATGCATACAACAGAGGAGGGTTTGGGGTGGTGGGGGGGGTTGGTTTGTTTGTTTTGGTTTGGGTTTTTTTCTGTGCAGTAGCAGTTAAATGTCCTAGCTACAGTTAGTCAGGTTTTCTTGACCTCTGTGCTGTTTTTGTAAAGGAGAAGATGTTACAGAAGTGATGCCTGTTCTTAATAATAACTTATAAAAGAACTTCTGTAAAGAGTCAAGTCTATTTCCTGTAGGAGAGACCACTTAGAATGGGTTGAGGAGGTGGTAGGATGGTGTGAAGAAATATCTGTACCATGGACCTTGTTTTGGATGCATATTTAAAAAGCAGGCCTAATTAAGCAACTTTGCATGAAATACATGTAATTATAAGACACTGTTGCTATTATCAGGACAATGGAATTTGAGTTAATCACAAAATAATGCACCCTTCTAGGTAAGGTAAAGCAACACCCAATGCTATTTGGCAAAATCAGGCTGTGTTGTTATTGTGGTGGATACAAACTAAACTACATTTACATATTTTGTAACTCATCAGTGGCCAGGAATGAGTTTGCTCAAGCTTACAACCAATGATTATGATGGATCACTTACGGAATCTGCAAGTATCTTTTAAGATCAAAGTAATTACTAGCAAAATGTGGTCAAGATTCCAGGAACTTAGAGCAACATGAGGAGATGGTACTTGTTTTAAAAAATGAGTTCTCTTGAATCTCCTCTTTGAATTTGGCAACTTTATTGCACTCCACTGTAATTTTGGCAACCTGCGAGTGGTGTAGCAGTTGATGAAGGAGAGCTAAAGTGTGTCATTCTCTTTCGCGGCTCTGGAGAATTTTTATGTACTCTAAGCAAGCAACTGCAGCAAGTAGGTCTGCCTTCTGAACTCTTGGGCTGTCTAGTAGACAGATCTTATTAAAAACAATAGAATTGTTTCTAGCCAAGCTTGGTGAGTGATTGCCATGAATTAAAATACATTTCAATAGTTCCTGGCTTTAAAATGTTTGTTTCATTTGAGTAGTCCCTTGGCTTAAAATGCTTGTTTCAAGCTGGAAGGATCAGCTTACTTTTAAATGATTTACTATTTGTGACAGAGACTGATGTGTTAAAACATAAATGCCAGTTCTGTGCTTCTTTAAGTTCTTTACACTTGTGAAACTTGTTCTAGCCCTACATTTTATCACAATTCAGACAGCAGAGCAGAGCTGCATCTGTCTGCAAATCATGTGCTGCTGCTTCCTTCTTCAGAGGCTCCCTAGCTGCAGAGAAGAGGAGAATGGGTTACTTTGCTCATTGGTTTATTAGCAAACCAGAATAGAAGGAATGATTATTTCTGTCTTACTACTTACATTGTTTATTTTTCATGATTTTCCTAAAGCTTGAGCCTTATTATTTTAGCTCCTGGTTTCACCTGTCAGACATGTTTTGGGACTGTATTTTGGCAGTGCCAATCTTAATTCCTCCCTACCATCTGCCATTTCTATAACTTTCCTCAGGATTTTTCATGACATTTCTATACAAGAAGAACCTTTGCTGTTTTCATGTCATGTTACTGTATTTATCTAGTTAAACACCCCTTTGAAGGGATCATTTTTAAGGGCTCATAAAAAAGGAAATTAAAGGGATATTTGATACACTTTAAGTGAAAGCTAAAAGGGCTTTTTTAAGTAAGAGAACTTATGAAACTATATTAAGGGCTGTTTATAAGTTCAAGGGTTTTGGGGGGTTAGATTAGATTCCACTATATCTTGGACGTGATTGCTTTACATCCTCCACATAGTTGTGCTGCAGATTAAAAATAGCATTTTTCCTTCTTGAATTTGACACATGTTCTTCTTCCTGAGCATACTATAAAAAACAGCTGTGAATGTGGTTTATACTTGAACAATGTTCTGTAGTGAGAAACCCTGTGGAGTAACTAGATGTAGATCTGCAGGAACACCAGCTTGGTACAGTGCAGTACATGGGAAGAACTGTCAGAAAATTTATGAGCTGACCTTGCACTTGTCACTGTTTTATATAACAGTATTGCTGCTGAATCAAAAAAAAAATCCCAGTGTAAGGTGTGGCAGAAAACTGGAGGGTTTTCTTCTCTGTTTTCTTTACAAGAGGATTATTTCTAAAGCATGGCATGAGGCTGAAAGGCTGTTGTCTGAGAAGTTGCATGTCTCAGAGGGCAGGTGCCAGTCTGTAAAAGGGCTCAGAGTTCAGAGATGTCATCACAGTGTGCCTGGTCCCATTGGGCTCTTCACCCATGGTGGTGCATGGCAATCTAACTGGTGTTGCCTTTCATGGTAGGGCTGAGCATACTCTGATTTTGGAGTAGAGGGAAAAGGCCTCTCCTGGAATTCTCCACAGCCTAGCAGCATGTGTGCCATCAGGAAGCAGAGCTCAGCTGCTCTGTGATAAACTGGACTGCTGTGCAGGTAATGGTGACGCTCATGCAACGCCGTCATCTGAGCCCTTAAACATCTCAAGGAAGATGAAAGAGGAATTCAAGCACTGTTAGAAATGGGTAGATGGGAGGTCTTGCGCAATAAATTCCCATGGAAGCATGCATATGTGAGCTGCCACGCATGCATGGAGCCAGCTCTGCCTTGGAGGGCCTGTTTCCATGCCTGAGGGCGGCCGGGAGTCTGTCGAGACTTTGCGTCATGTCAGGCGTTCCCGATGCAGCTGATGTGCGAGTGCCAGAAGGAAGGAGCTCCTCTGGCTGTGGCGTTGGATTGATGCAGTCGTTGGCTGGAAGATCTGTGAGAAAGGGAGTGGCAGTGTCATTTCTGTCTGTGAGTGTACACTGCAGCACCAGGACACTCAGGCTTAATTGACTTTGCCCTGGGGAATTTCAAACCCTACCTCCCAGCTTCCACAGGAAGGCCTTCATTATGACAGGTTATTTTCAGTCCAATACAGATACCTTGCCCCACAGAAAAGAGTCCAAAGTTCCTTTTCCAGAAAACATTCAAATTGGATTCAACGTTGTAGAGAGCAGAATCTGAATGTGGGCAGAACCCCTCTGACATCAGAAGCATTTTGACAGAATCATCTCCCCACAGCAGTCTGGAGGATTCCAATGTTACAGTTTTCACTTGTCGTGAATTTTTACCTCAGTAGTATGAATCTTGAATCTTTTGTCTAGTCAGAGATTGAAGTTGCCGTAACCTACTGTAAAAGTTAAAAATTAATGCAATAAGTGATAAGCAGTGCTGACAAGGCTGTCATCATTTGAAGCTGTAGAAACCAATATTATCTTACTGTCTGTTCAGCTCTTTGTATGAAAATTCCCACGAGTGGGGGTTAGTGCAATGCAAGAGAGATATGGCATTGATTAAAATGTATTTTAAAACATACTTAAGGTATTGTGCAAGAACCAGCCACAGAGGTCTTTGTGCCTGAAGATAAGGAAGCTTTGTGTTCCATGCAAGCAGATCCCTCGTGTATTTTGTATAAGGGGTTTTTATGACTTTTCAAGTTTAATTAGAGAGTTGAAGAGCAGAAACATTCAGGGTTTTTGATCTTAAACAATCCAGAAGAAACCTCTGAAATAAAAGGAGTATGTGGCGTACTGATCTTTACAGTCAACATCTGGAATTCCAACATCCTGTAAAAGCATTTATCTTCCTTTTGCAGGAGCTGTCTGAGCCCTGCATAGCTCTTTTTGAAAAGATGGGTTTCCAAGGAAAGAAAATCGAGTTCAGTACAGAAATCTTAAATCTTCAGTTCCTGGGATACAATCCTCGCATAGCTTCAGTTCAAGTCCTTGGTGGCATGTAAGTTTAAAATCACCTTTTGATTCTTTAGAATGAAGTACTTACAGGTGCAATGGAACCACAGAATGTAAAATTAGAATATCATAATATGTGCAGTGCATTAATGCCATTTCATCTTACAGAGCATTTTCATATCCTGTCTCAACAATATATTATCACTGACTCATGTCCTTTGCTAGGAGTTGAAATAAATTTGAATAAAGCTCTCAGGGAAACTCATGTCTTCTTTCATGTCATATTATAAAAATCAGCTTGAATAGCATCCTTAAAACCAACTTCTCTGCTCTTGGTTTATGTCTCAGTTGTAAAAAATAATTTGGTTTGTGATCTGTGTTATAAGTTCAAAATGTTTTTTAATAAGTCTTCATGGTCATCCTTTAACCTCTGCTATGGACACAGAGGTGCAATCAGATCATGAGCTCACCTCTCCTGGTGTTAGTAGTAATAGTACCTTTTACTTCAGGAATTGGATGAGAATCTAGCAGTTAGATTTGGTAGCTGTTTTTAAGCAGTTGTGTTCTCTAAATATACCTTTGAAGACTATGTAAAAAATAGTCATGAAGTTTACTTAATTTTAAACTTTTGTCATGAAGCTTAAAAGCTGTTTGGAAGCATTTTTAAAATTTATTGTCCTATATTCTAGAATTCCAGCAGATCTGTTGAATTCTCTTCTTGTTTTTTTTTTTCCCCTGTTGTTAACCTCTACCTCTAAGATACTTGCCCCCAGTTTTGGTTGTTTTTGTCATTCGGGTTTTTTTTTTGTTTTGTTTTGTTTTAATGATTGGTCCATATTAGTGTTGCTTTGCATTTAAATGTGTTCTTTTGAAGAGGTAAATTTCCAAGGTGTGTGCTAGAGAGATGCTGTTGGGTAGCTTAAGACTGCCCTCAAGTGGAGAGCTAATAAGCCAATCTGTAGAGTAAATCAATTTCCCCATCAGGATGAGCTGGTCATAGAGTTTCCATAGCACACAGAACTGAACTTTGAAACAAAAAGGTAAATGTATTGTGAAGCCTCCAAAGGTTTCAGTATCTTTCACCATAACCACAGTATAGTTGATTCTCTCTTTCCATAACATGAAGTCAAGTATCAAGTAATCAAGTATCATGATTCCAGGTAACAGAATTGGGAATTGTGTATGTTTTCTGTCCAATTAATATACGTGGGGTTCTTTTTTTGTAGTGGATCACTGGAAACATAGAATATGGTATGTAAGTTTGGATTTCATTATAGCAGTGTCAGCTATAATGACATAAAATACAGAGTTTACAGCTTTTGTGCCCCTGCTGCCTCCCTTATTGAAGAGAGTTTCATCTTCTCTTCCTTTGCTAAGAGACCTCCATTTATAATTCCTGGGGATAGATGTGTATTAGGCAGTGAAAAAGCACCAAAATTAAAGTGAGTTTGCTTCTGGATGGAGAAGTCTGGTGACAAATCAGTCAGAGGAGGGAGGTAACCTGAAAATGAGTATATTGAGTGTTCATGTACTCAAACCCCCCTGCCTACCAGACAGTCCCAGCACATCACTGTGAGAAAACTCTAGAAATTGCACTGTATGGCAGCCTGTTTTGACGCCCAGACATAATTCACTGGCTGTGCCAATAATGGAGAATGAAAAGTTGGGTTCTGACAGATTACACTCAGTGTGTGATTTTAAGCATAGTTGGATGCATGTTAGGGAATGCTAAACAGATTTTTTCGATGTGCACTCTTGCTCTGTCTCTTCCCCACCCCCCTTGCAGGTATTTGGAAAGAATGGAGATGTTGTGAAATAAAACCTCTATCAAAATACTCAAGAGAACTTCACCTGTTGCAGTTTCCAGTATTTGCTTGTTCCAGTCTGCATCCATAGTAGTTCTTTCTTCCTCATGTGAACCAGGCCTGTCCAAATTCAGACATACAAACCAGCTGGTTCTGCACCTGCAGCAATGTAGCATTTACTGCATATAGATCTGTGCTCCTTGAGGAGTCACAGTGCCACCTGAAAACAAATGGTATTTAAAAGTTGGATACTCTCAAGAAAATGCTGTGCTTCATTCAGCTTGTAATTTATAAATAATAGGATTCTAAAATTAGAACTCCTGTGTACCATCTCAGTGTGGCTGACCTAAATCAGGATGTTATTTTATTATTTTTAAGGCCTGTTACAAAGAAGGTAATTGGCTTTCCAAAGCTAAACATTACTACGTTGTGGGACAGATTTCTGTTAAACTCATTTATTGATTCCAAAGCAGAATTTGGCAGTTACAACATTATCTTATTTTTCCTCCTCATAGATGGATAATTTATGAACACAGTAATTACAGGGGACGTCAGATGATGTTAACACCAAACGAAATTCCAGATTGGTACAAAGCCAGTGGCTTTTGTCAGATAGGTTCTCTGAGACCTTTACTGCAGGTGAGTGGGCTCTGACATGACTTGTCAAGCACTAATTTATATCTTGTCATGGGGTTGGGGAGATATAATGCAGCTGTAAGCAGCATTACAGCCTTGTCACAGGCATGTGACAAACCAACATGGCAATTGTGTAAAGAAATCCAGAGTTTTGTGTGTAATAAAAGCTGTTTGAATATGCTACAGGGCTTTGCAGTTACACCACTTAAACTGTTAATTAAGCATCCTTTAAACCAAAGTACAGAAGACGGCATATAAGGATTAATTAAGGATTAATAAATTACGGCTATAACTGCTACATAGAAATGATTTTAAGTTGCTTCATAACTAGCACCCAGACTGGTTGCTGGCATACTGTCTGCATTATTTATGGAACAACAAGAAAATTGGTTAAAAAAAAAAAAAAGATAGTTCAGTTAGTAGTGATTTTCTGTTGATTTAAGAGGAAAAGTCCCTCCTTGTTTATTATTTGGCAGAATAATTTGCAAATATAATGCAAAATTTATTCTTGTCATGTACTCTTTATTTTGCTGTATAAATATGTTTTGCTCTATAAATATTTTGTTCTATGTGATCTTGTCCGATGATGCAGCAGTCCTGGGAGCTTTAACATTTGAGGTTCTTGCTGAGCCATATTTCACTGGAGAAGCAGCTTTTTCTAATTCCTAGGTTACTTGTACCTGTAACCAGCTTCATTTGCTTGCTGTCATAGCTTTGTCTTTGCATAGCCTTGAGCAGAATTAGGAATAATGCATTTTGACTGCCCTGCTGAGAGCTTGTCTGAACAGAAGTGTTCATGTGTAAGAGGCCACACAAGTGCACCCTTAATGAAAGCTAAGAGCATGTATGGAAGGGAATTAGCAGAGAGAAGTTTGTTCTGCTTTGATTTAAAAATTTTTAGCTTTCCACTGTGTGCTGATTTCAGTGCATAGGAAAGCCTAAAACTCCCCATGCAAAGTGGTGAGTTCTCACAGCTTGTCTTGTCCAGATATTTAAGGGCTTCTGAATTATGTTCTCAAATTAAAAAGTTAAGCTTTCAGAAAGAAAGAGGGAGGTTTGGGGTTCAGCAGTGACAGTAACTGCTCTGAAGTTAACTCAGAGCAGGATGTGTTCTCTGCTGAGATTGTGGTTAAAGAGTTCTTTGGTTTTGTGCAGAAACGTGTGTACTTCAGGCTTCGAAACAAGGAAACAGGAAAGTTCATGTCAGCTGATGGCAACCTAGATAATCTGAATCTTCTCAGAATACAGGTTGCAGAAGATACAGACTCGGATGATCAAATCTGGGTTTATCAGGATGGATTCATAAGGTGTCGGGTAAGGTTTGAGTTCAGTGTGCATTTTCTCTTTTCCTCTCCGGTAGTAGGGCTTTATGAATTTAATTCCTACTGCAGTATCTTCATTTATTTTATAGGTTTAATCTGTTTCAACTATAATGTAATCTTTCTGTAGGGAGTTGGTTTTTGTGGGTGTTGTTTTGTTTTAATCAACTCTAGTTTTTTCAGGTGATACAAACTAGTTGTATGATACTTTTTTGATATAATGGAACTTTGGAGAGAAAGTATTGCAAAAGTATCAAAGCAGGAGAGAGACCCTTCCTGATAATATTTTGAACTATGAATACCTTGCAGTAGGACAGTTATGTAATGTAGGTTGGTATTTGTACTGGTTTAGAGCAAATTTGGGAGGAAACAGATGGTTTAAAAATCTAAACATCATAAAGTCACCCTAGGACAATATCCTCTTCTGCATTTAGGCAAGCTTAAAGATAAAATCCCACTCTTTTGAGCCATTTAGGGGTGGGGTTTTTTGGTTCTGTTTTGGGGTTTTTTGTTTGTTTTCTGGTTACCCCTGTATTTGTCAAATCCATCCTTCTCCTTTCTTCTGTACAAGTTTCCCAATGAAGCCCTACTTTTCTCACAGTCCATAAAACTAATCATGTGCAAATTGTCATTGAGGTGAGCAGAGGTATGCACAGTTCATATAATGTTAGAGCATGAACAGTCTTCGGTAGGGATGCCAGCCAAAAGAAAATTAAGTTACTTTAATACTGTTAAACAGCTTGACTGCAAAGAATCATGTGAACTTTTTCTATAGGACTGTATAACTTCAAAGGAGCCATTTATAACTATGTCATCTATGCTGGAGGGAAGAATCTTACTGTTAATAAGCTAAGGCATTGTTCGGACATGTTTACAGGACACATGCAGTTGTAAAAGCGATTTATGCAGACAGCAAAATGATGCAAAGTAAGCTAAAAGCTTTAATATGACATACAAAAGACTTCTCTTTTGATGGTGCCTCTCAAACATGTCAACAAGTTTTCATATTGAGACAGTGTGGTATTATATGGCTTTGGATAAATGCTCCTGGTTTTTGCCCTTTTTCTGTATCTCATAAAGCAATTTTTCTGTGCACAGAAAATCCACGGCTTGTGCTGTATAGCAATCAGGTAGCTTAGTGCAGAGTGCAAGCTGGCAACATTGATCTTAAGTGACTGAACTCCTACAGAGCTCTGCCATCTTTCCAGTGAATGGTAGTAAATCCATTTTACACAAACCAGAAATTGGGTTCACCCACATATTCCAAAGAAAACTGAGCTCCTGGGTGGGTAACTCCCTGCACGAAGGCAGACACAGGTCACTGGAAGAACCTGCACCTTCCTGTAAGCTTGGGTCATCTCAGTGACTGAGTCATGAGATGGGACCTTGAGCTGTGCCTGGGGTTTTCAAGGAAGGGCTGTTTCAATTATGTGGGATAACCAGTAAGCAAGATATGAAAGCAATTCTGCTCTTTTTTCAGAAACAGATGTGAATGCAGATCTCCTTACTCTTCACGAGTTTCATGGAGATGGGTTAAGTTCTGGCCTAGGGAACCTAATGTCTAAGCTCAGAGTTCTCCTTGTCCCACTAGAGAACGCTTCAGATACCAGTGAGAATTTCACAACCAAATCAACTTTCTTTAATTCTAGATTATGACAGTCAGAAGTACGACTTTTTCAAGAAAAAGTTCTTTCAAAAGTACTTGTAAAATAATTTAGGGCCATTTCAACAATGACAGATGAGTGTTCAATCTGCCACAGAAGTGCATTCAGTAGTTTAAAGGTGCAGTTTATGATGATCTACTGAAAATCACTGTTTATGTAGAAAAATTGACTTACTTCGTAATACAGCCTTAACACTCTTTAGAAACAACCTTGATTTTTGCCAGCTCTTTTTTTAACCAAGAAGACATTTGCAGATGTTTGGATTCAAGTAATACAAGTGACTAGGAAAAGTGTAGAGCAAAGAAGAAAATATTAGTGTTGTACCCTGTGAAATTCACACACTTGATACTGTGCAGCTATGTCCTCTTTATGAAAAGGTTACTGCAAAACTAGAAATGTTTAGGAAAAAAATATGTTCAGAGGAAATGGAGAGCCTCTATGCAAGGAAGAGACAAAATAGTGAGGACATTTTAGCCTACAAAGGGTACACTTTGAGGGATGATGTGCTTGTAGTCTCTGCAAACATAGCATAGACAACACATCCTTTAAAATAATCCAGAGATGAGGAGCACATCAAATAAAACTACTTGCATCTAGATTTATTTTTAATTTATATATATTTTTTAAATAATGGTAGTTAGGATTTGGAACTGCTTGCCACAGTATGGAAGGGTTAAAATACACAAGGGAGTTCACATGAAAGGGTTGCTCTGATCTTGGTGGGTAGTGACTAATAAATTCATACACAGGACAGAAAATGAGCATTAAAGATTCCAGGATGCATGGAAAAGTCTCTGGGCTAGCAATTGCTGTAGCCTGGAAGAGATAACCAAGAACATATGTCATACAAGAGTACTGGCAATTTAATCTTCCATGGTATCAGTGTAATCTTCAGTTATTGGCCACTGCTATAGACAGGTGCTAATTGTTCCTTTTGATCTGATACACCATAGTCACTTTAATGTTCCTGTGTAGAAGAGAGTGTAGGCATAAACAGGAACAAAAGAAAGATAAGTCTTGAGTTTGGGGCAAAAATGGATTCCTGGAGGGAAAGTCATTCCTAAATTCTATTCTCACCTGATGATATCTCTCCAATTTGATTAAAAAAAACCAAAAACAGTGGACAGTAGAAGTAAAGCCATTCTGAGTAATTGCTGTTGCCTTTCTGATGACACAGATGGCAGAGGATTGCTGCTTGACAATTGTTGGAAATCTTATAACTCCTGGCTCTAAACTCGGTCTGTCATTTGAACGGAATGAAGACAAACAATATTGGCATATTAGTCCCGATGGCAGAATTTATAGCAAGATGAAACCCAAGCTGGTTTTAGATATCAAAGGTAAGCAAATGTTATCTCATTACATTGGGTCTTAATTACATGGTATTTGCAGTGGGATACACACTAAATTAAGGATGGTGCTTTAGTTGCTTTAATCTAGAAGCAAAAAAGACCCGATCAGCTAGTTTGACCTCCTGAATTATACAGGCCCTAAGACTTCATTTAATTTCTCCTACATACAATTTAGTAACCCACAGTACTTGCTTATCTTGTATTCTCAGTGACCACTCGCTGTAGATAGCCTCGGTTAATTTTTAGGCAGTGTGAATATGATTATTTAAAAGGGTGAAGCAAGAACAACGTAACTTTTCATTAACTTTAATTTCTGTAAGTGCAAATTTTCTTACATACCAGTTGTAGATGCAATAGCCAAAGGATATTAGGAAAGCAAAGGCAGGTTTGTATACTGATGCAAATGTAGGCTTGTATACTGATGTGATTAGATGCAAAGAGGTGGGGTTCTTTTGTTTGTTAATGGCTATGCCTATATGGCAAGTGTGAGATTCTGCCATAGCAGCCTGGGGTCTGTGAGCACTTGATGTGTATTTTGGAATCACTTTTGTCATAGTAATTTGATTTGTGTAGATACTCTTTCTGAACTTCATTTTCAGAGCTTCACAGAAGGTCTAAAAAAGTAGCAGATTGAATGATTAGCAGAATTAATATAATCAGATGTTGTTACATAACTGATTTTTTGGGTGAAGGGAGTAATCATTTTCTATATATGTTCTATTATTTTTTTAGCTATTTTTAAATTGATTTAAAATTGATGCTGTGACATTAATTATGTCAATTACAATGACCACTACCCCCCAAAAAAACCCAAACCAACCAGAAAAATAGCACAGTCAACAGCCAGCACTTTAGAACTAAACAGGACTGATCGTGTGGAATCATAGAATATCCTGAGCTGGAAGGGACCTATAAGGATCATCCAAGCCCAACTCCTGGCCCTGCAAGAGACACCCCAATAGTCACACCATGTGCCTGAGAGCATTGTCCAAAAGCTTCCTGGACTTCATCAGGCTTGGTGCTGTGACCACTTCTCTGGGGAGCCTGTTCCAAACAAGCAGAAATACTGCTGCATTGCCTTTTCTTCAGTAAATCATGTTAAAAGCAATTCTGCATTTATAATTGAAGAACTTTACAATGGATAGGCCTGGTAGTGAGAGTATTGAAGCACTCTTAGCTTTAAAACAAAGTAAATCTGTACAATAAATACAAAACAGTAGATACACGTAGCTTTTATTTGAGAAAGCCTAGTAAGAACATTGCCTGTTTCTGCCAACTCTGCTGATCCGTTCCAGACCACAAATTGTGTGTTAAAGAATTCCTCAGTAAATGAATGCAGTTGTGCATTTATTTGCACAGCAAACTGTGCAGTTGCCAATGCCACCTTGTGGATAAACTGGCATAGCACAAAACCTTGTCCAGAGCATCATGCTGTCAAAGTAAATTGTCACTCTATCCACTGAAAAACAAAATCCCATCTTAACATGTTTACATTCTATCAGACACCACTTAAAAAAATTTCTGCACTCACAGTGATAACTGAGATACAAAAAAAAATAATATTAGCTACATAGCTCAGTATGTTAGACTCATCATAAGCTTTCAGCTGCCAGGCTTGTCTTTTGCTCAGTCAGGGAGGGTGAGGCAATGGGGGTGCAGAACAAAAAGTGTCTGTGGGACTGTCCTGGTGCTTTGTATAAATGGTTGGCACAGATGGCTACTTCCAGTGGGAACACCACCTGCTTTGCAGGTGTGTTGTACTGCAGGAAATGCACGTGTCTTACATTTCTGCAGTACATACTAGATCTGAGGGAAAAAAGCACCACTTCTGACTTTCAGCTCCAGTCGAATGCGTCTTTGCTTCCCAGTTTCTTCTATGTTCTATGAGAACATTTGGCATTGTACCACATAAGTAGATTAGCTCTCCTAAGAAATGTTTCTATTTTGCATTCAGATACATTCAGCTGCCAGTGGAAACAGCTGAACACTGGGTGATACATTGGGCATGATGAGTTGTGATTCATTTGGTCAAAATAAAGGATTATAATGGCAAGGAGTAAATGAGTGCCAGACCTTGTCTCTGACTTGGTCACGTGTGTATTGTCTGATAGCAGAAGGACTTCATCATCTAAACATCTTCACTCTGTTTTTAGAGCCAAGTGACAATTGACAATTGTTGCAGGAAAACTGAATAGTCAAGTGTGACTTTTGGGAAGTGACAGTCTTCAGGGAGCTGCACCTGACTGTACTGCAGTGTTTCTTTCCTTTTCCATCCAGGCTTAAAAAGCTGAGAAACTGAATTGCTAAAGGGGTGGAGAGAATAAGGCAGACTGATCTTGGTTAATTCAAAAACTGTTTCAAAAATAAATTCCAAAAGCAGGCAGTGATTAAAATACTTTGTCTTCTCAGAGCTGTGGTCGAAGATAAATTGTCTACACCAGCTCTTACAGAGCTTTTCTAAACCTAGAGTATTTGTCTGTTATTTGAAAGATAACCTCTCCTCTTTGACATTTCTCTCTACAGGAGGCACTCAGTATGACTGTGACCACGTTGTTGTCAACGCAGTCAATGAAGAAAAGTTAACGCAGTGTTGGGAACCACTGGTTGTATAAACCCAGTGAAGCAAGGATGATGTTTGGATTGGCCACTGTTCTGGACGTTGGAATTGGCACTGCCATCTCTGAACGATACAGGATCAACGATGAGAGTTTTGTCTTTTCTTCACAATCTTAAAAGAACAAGCAACAGAATTATTTCACCTCCCTATCCAAGATTATTTCCCCTATAAAAGCTTGAGTATCTGAAAACCTTCCTTTTTTTTTTGTTTTTTTTTTTTTTTTTGTTTTTGTTTTTAAATCCTTACAATTCAGTGTTGGACAGAGATTTGGCAGTATGCCTCAGGCTAGAAAGGAACAACTGAGGGAGACCCCGTGGGGAGAGACCCCATGGAGTTACAAAAACCCAGAATAGTCAGTAAGTGTAACTTATTTTATAAAAGACAGGAGAGCAGTGTGTATGTGGGTATAGCAACTTGGAGCTATGGGCTGTGGTATAGAGAAATACTCACTACAGGAAATTAATATATTTGGTTCACTGGAACAAACTTATGTTTACTGAAAGTTTAAAGACTGCTAGTACAGCACATCCAAAGATATGTTAACATGTGGCTTCAAGTATAGTTAGTATGCTAATATAGTAAATCCTAAATTAAGAAAAAATCTAGATTTTCTCATGTGTAGAGGATGTAAAGTAGCAGATATTTTGTTAGAAAAAGAGAAGGCTGGCAAAAGGATGCATTGGAATTTGAAGAATTTGCCCATTTTCTAGGTTGCCTGACTTCTTGAGTTGTGGGTATTTTTCTTCTTTGCCAAGACATTTGTACCTTCTAAAACAGTTTCAGTAAGTAGAATCTTACTGAACTCCAAAATTGTATAGGAAATAAGAATTCTTAGGGAAAGAATTGCTGCAGATGACTATAACAGCCTGTAAGCACCGTGGTTATTGAGTTTTCCAGCCTGTTGGGCTTACCAACATGGAGAATGCCCAACTCCCCAATATTTCTGGAGCAGTTGAAAAGCTATGATAGTGGTGGGCTCCTGGTTCCCTGTTGGACAGAAGTGTCAGACTCTTCTAGGAAGGGGCACAGCCAAGCCTGGATCCATGCTCAGCCATGAGGGCTGTGCCCATTCCAAGCAAGTGTTACTGGTTTAGTAAAGAGCTTGTGGGATGTTCTGATGGCTGCAGGAGGTCCTTCTGTTGCTCTGCTTTGAACCTGGTCATGTTAGTTTTCCTTAATGATGTTGGCAAAAAGGTAAAATACAAACTCTGGCACTATGCTGCTGTGTTTTGTTCTGGCTTAGACCAGTGTTACTACAAGCTGCTCTGAGGAGCATCCAGGCCTTTGTCTTGCATAGTAAATCTGTTTAAAATTAACATTTTCATTACTAATGTATTGCCTCAAAGGATACTGGTGCTTTTGCTGTTAGCACCCTAGAGGAAGTGCCTTACTAATTTTCTTCCTTTTGTAAAGAAGCACTGAAGTTTTGTTGCTCTGAAATGTGCTGCTTTTAGTCCTTAATAGAAAATATGATGTTACTGGTTCCAAACAGTGGTACTTTGTCATATTGATGTGCTCTTGCTATATATAATATAGCATTTTACAAATAAATTTAAGTTAGGTAATGTTTTACTGAAATCATTTTTAAAAGTAGAAAAATTACATTTTATGGTTAGTTTTGCTTTCATCTTGTGCCCATCTCTGTCCATAATTCCTCTGCCACAGCCAGCCCCTGAGTGAATACTTGGTGTGGAGTAGCTGCAGGCTCTGAGGAATGGGTGGTTCTTCTATACAAGAAGAATCTTCTGCACATGTTTGTACAGGTGTTGTATAAGCACTTGTGCACAGAGCCACCATTCACACAGCTGCCACTTCTGTGCCCTGGTGGAAGCATTGCATGACATGGGTTGTGCATCACCACAGCTGCACTGCAGTAAATGGACAGCTCTCACTTAAGAAGTTGCCACTTTCCTTCAATCCACCTGCATAATTGCAGGGGAAGTTACTCCATAGCCCATCTGGCAAAATGGCAAGTTGAGGAACAGCCCACCAGACACTTCACCAGCATTGATGAGACACAGTAGGAACAGGGACACAAAATCATGTCTACCCTACCTGCACAAACCCTGCAGTCAGCTGAATCTGGGCCAGGAGTTGGGCAATTAGAATAATTATCAGGTACAGATTGATTTTGTTCCATGCTTCTATTTAGATTAGCTGTGTCATGAGAGAGTTGACACAACAGATTGAAGTATCAGTCTTGAGACAGTGATGTGACCATTTAGTTCTAAGAATGAAATAGCTTGAGTAATAATCTGCATTAGTGAAGGTAAACAGAAGTAGGAAAACCAAGGAAAAACATCACAGGTTTCTATAGACAAGTAGGTAAGAGTGTGCCTCACGATTTCAGGACTTACACCTGAAAAACAAAAGCTCCAAGATATAGAAAAGGAAAATGCTGCAGACTGTTCCTCTTATCCCAAGAGTGAGGAGTGTTCTGCAAAATTCACAACTACATTTTTAATATGGTTTTCAGGCAGAAATGCTTAAGAGGCATTAGTATGTCTTGTCTGCTTAATAACAGGCAGCGTATGAAGGAATCAGAGCCTTTTCTAAAACAAGATTTATAAGTTATGCAGCCTGTATGAGGTTTTAAAAAAGAAACACTCACTGAATACCAATTCATGTTCAAGGACTGACTGCAGGCAGAATAATGATTAGAGATACTTTATTGTCTACTAATTACATTGATCACTGTTTTTCCACGTGCATGTCCTCCTTCCAACTTCAGAAAGGCCTCTGGAACTTCAGAAAATGAGAAGACTTCATCAATAACTGGCTGAATCTACAGAATAAAGAAAAAAATTCACTACATTAGGAATAGAGTATAAATTAATGTATCACCCTCACACTTCAAAACTGTATGAAGAAAGGAGGGAGGTTTCTTTATGGTACTTAGGACAGAACTTGCCATGTAGCCATTAGCTTTTAAGATTTTTCAGGGATACTACTGGATCCAGAAGAAAGTTTTCTGCTGCTCTTTGCCCATGTTTTGAAACTCCTCTACTAGTACAATTTGGAGCCCTTACCTGGAGCCTCTCCCACTAATGTCACCACATAAGGCTCTAACTTCTACATCCTTTCCAAAACTGACACTGTGGTTTAACTTTTTGTTGTCCACAATGATATACTTCCAGAAAGAATATTTTTTTCCTTGTATTTCTCTACTGGTTTTCTTGTTAAACTCAAGAATTCTCATAATGTCAGATATTTTAAAGATGCCTATAAATCTGAAGCCTGTCTGCATCAGTACATGGCTCAGTACCCTCAAAAGACCACAAATGAAGTACAAAAAAATTGTCCACCAGTGTTTGTTGCTGAATCATTTAACTCCACTTGAAAATTCAGCCACTCTCTATTCCAGGAGGCATAAATCATTATTAAGGCCAGCTTGCATCAACTGCTATTTTGACATTAATTTTGTAGAGTGGCCTTCTGGATTGTTTCAGATTAATTTCTAACAACAGTGAAACGACTTATTCACCCTCCCCATTATTAACTAAGGAGCCTGAAACCCCTATAAGCATTTTCTTTGGATGCCATAGTGTACCAAAAGGAGCAGAAGAACTTTCAGCTTTTCTGAAAAATATTTGTCACTGCTGGTCCAAGGAAAGAGGTTATTTTCTACTGTCAAGTTCCGAGTCAGCATTCCAAATGCCAAAAAATAATTTGTCTGCGAGAGTACCTCTCACACCTCCTACCAAAGATCTGCCTACCCTGAGGTTGGTCCTTCACCTTGGATCCTGTAACACCAGCTCAGTGCATATCCTTGCACTGATGCACTGAACAGAATCCTCTTTATCAGAGGAAACAATGACCAGTACATGAGTCTGCAGCTAGTGCTTGCAGTGATGAAGGTTTGAAGTACTAAAGATCCAAACAAACACACTATTTACAGTGCTAGAAGAAGATCCTTTTCACTTGTGTCAGGGAAAAAATATCTTCTGCATTTTCTTCATAGCATGCACCCTCTCTTGTTGAATAAGCCAGAACTGGTAATTTCTCTCTGCTGGCAGGACATGCTCGACAGAAAAGGAATACAGCAGCAATAAGGACACAAACAATGTGCAGCTTTAGAGTGGTGCTGCCTTCCAAAAAGCTGCCTTGCTTTTACCATATGACAAAGGGTTTTGCTTTCAGATGTGTTGCTTAGAAGGTGAGTGTGCAGCACTACCAAGGAAAGGTTTTCATACACACACACCTTCCTAGCAAGACCTGACCACCCAGCACCCTCCCCAGCAGCACAACAAATGCTCTCTGATAGCTGTCCATGCTCAGGGAGGTCCTTTTCTTAGATCTCCTAATTTCCTCTTCATTTATACACTGTGCCTTACCTTGATGTCCCTTCCTTGCCCTTAAATAACTACTAGCTTTGCTGGTATGATAGCAGTAATCCAAGACATCAGTACTCTACCTTACACCACAGTATCCCTTAATATCATCTAGATTTTCCTTTTTGTGAAGGCAAGCTTAGCCATAGTGTGAAACTTCACATGGCAGAAAATCAGGAATTAATGAACCCCTCCAAAGAATGCATTAGAATTTGCAGACAAATCACTTTGAGAGCAACTGTGCATAAAAATAAAGTCACCAAATCACCAAGTGCCTCAAAGTTGCCATGCAGCAAGGTACAAGGCTTAGTAATTTATTTCCCTTGTTCTGCCTGGACAATGTCTGTAAACCAAGCCCCAGCAAAGTGAGTAGCACCACATGGCAGAGGAGCCACAAAGATAGCCCAACTGTGGAAAAAATGTTGGGTATAAATGATCATGTTCAAGACAAACTCATGTCTGGTCAGCATTCAGCACAGAATGGAGATGATGTCTTGGACATCAGCAAAGTCAGGGACGTGGACTCAAGGCAGCAAAACCACTGAATTAGACAATGGTTTGGGGTAAACTGAGCATCTGAGTGCAGCTGCAGCGACCATTAGGAGGAACGTGCTGCTGGTCAGTACTGACTATTTTGAGGAAGACCAACCCTTGCTTTCACAGCAGATGCTTGGGAAAACACAGTTCAGGAACTTGGTTGAGCCAAGCACTTGTACAGTTCTTATTGTTAGTGGGAGTTGTGCACAAAGCTGTGCTTCAAGTAAGAGGGGAAAAAAGAGATACAGAAATCCAGCCTGCTGGTGCATGGACACAGATGACCCTGACAAGGCAACAGGCTAGGAGGAGAGGAAAAGTATTCAGGGAAGAAAGCACAGCAGCAGCACAAGGGATGTGAAGTGCAAGTGAAAGGCAGAAGTTAATTTCAGACAGGTGCAGCAACTGAGAAAACGTGAACAAGACACTTCACAGTTATGCTAATCCACAGTCCCTTACTCTAGGCTGCAAGTTTAACTCTGACAGAGTGAGGTATGTTACATTCTCAGCCTGCTGGGTAGAGTTTAAAACATTGCATTTGAAAAGTGGTGACACAGTGATTCAGAGGAGCCCTGAATTCAACCCCACAGTTCAAAACACCGTGTGTATTGCAGCCACCACATGCTCAAAGCCCATCTGCTACATTGATGTAACCTCTAGCTTCATTTAAATGCTGGCTTTAGGCAGTGCTATAGAGAGACATGAATACCAAATTGATGATCCTGGCAATCTAGAGCATTAAACATTTTATCTGGCTGGCTGGACAGTCCCATTGTTTGAATAACCCTGAAAGGGCTGACCATGTTGCAGCACAGTGATTCACTCAGCCTTTACCATAATCCACTGACTAAGATAAAATTTCTTCCTGTGAACAGACAAACAAGTAGGGGAGCGTCTGCTGTTTGTTCAATGTGTGATACTAAATGGAGATTAACTGGATAATAAAAACATTGCCTATTTACAGCCACGCATCAGTTCCTTGCCAGGGGACACCTATTTGTTCAGGGAAAAGGGATTAAACTAAAGTCTGGGAGAGAAAGGATTACACATACCCACATTGAAATGTTTATCTGAAAACAGATGGGGCCTGAAAGGTATTTTCTTCCTCTTCATTCTCTCCAATGCAGGACATACTATAGAAATGAATCTCAGGCCTCTTACAATGAACTCATGTGTTTGGAAAAATAAAAAGAGTAATTGCTGATGCTGATTAAGGCTATCCCACACACATCACAGAGGGTGTCCCAGCCGCTCCAGCCCTGAATGCAGTGGGCAGTGAACAGCACTGGCAGGAGCTGACTGGTCATCAGGAACACATTCCTGCTCATGGCACAGTCAGGCCCACCCCTGGAGGTCCCACCTTCTGTGATAGCAAGGACGCAGTTTTAGTTTATCAGGAGCGGACAAGTGAGAAAACATGAAAGGAATGGAGACGGCTTCGACCCTCATAGTAGCAACAAGTGACTCCAGTGAGTGTGGAGCTTTTTGCTGCCACTGGAGGGAGAGCGAGAGCCTCGAACGCCTCGGCAGAGCGACGAACGGAGCGCCAGCGAGCTCAGAGAGCAGGAGGACAAAAGTGCCGTCTCAAAGGACAGTGACTGCGCACTGGCTCTCCTCCAGGTCTGCAAAGGATGGCCGTGTCACAGCTGCCGGGCAGCCTTGCAGGGAGAGTGCCTCCCCCCTTCCTCTGCCTTGGTGAGGCTGCTCAGACTCCCACACACCACCCTCCAGGAAAGGAACTCGCACATGCACAGAACAAAAGCTGGGATGTGCCCTCCCGAGGGCTTGCCGTAATGGAAAGACCTGCCTGCTGATCTGACTAGCTGAGTTCACAGACAAAGGCATCTTCCTCCAGAAATTACCACCGGGCCTAAGTGTGGTCCCTGAGCACAAATGCAGAGCTTTAGAGTCTCCTTGGGTGTTCAGTGAGTCTCTCATCAACGTCAACAAGAATTGTGAAGAGAAAACATTAAAAAGAACAGTCCTTGTCCTGGAACTAAACAATTGGTTATCCACCTGTTACTTTATTGTCATCCTATGGGGAAAAAAGATGCTGTTTTGGGACATTCGTACTTTAGCTGAGCATCTTCTCTGCTGTACTCCTGTTCCATGCTCCCTGGATCCAAATCTCACTCCTTTCTTCAATCTTTCTTCCCCTTAAAAAGGCATCCAACAACGTATGCTGAGCCAACAAGGTCAACAAGGGCTAGGGTCAGCCCTCACTGAAGATAAAGAATGAAGTTCTCATCTTCTGCAACAGCTGGCTCTGGTCACATCTTGTACAGGTAGCTTTGCAACTGCACAGCACCAGCATAGAATTGCAGCATGGTTTGGGTGGGAAAGGACCTTTAAAGGCCATTCAGTCCAACTCCCCCTTCCACTAGACCAGACTACTCAGAGCCCCATCACTGAATGTTTTGTAAAAAGCTTTCCTTGCTGTGTTTTTTAATAACTTGTATTTCAGAGAATATGCACTTTCATCCATAAGCACATTAAAGGACAGCACATACATGATATTTCTGTCCCAAATACCTAAGAGAAGTAAAACTGAGCAAACAATACACCCATAACAAAAATGGTGCTGCAGTGGTGAAGACGTGGGAATGGAAGGCAAGTGTTCCAGGGTCAAATCCCACAACCTCTTACCAACAACTGCATTATCAGGTCTTCTATGTTTGGTTAATAAGCCAAAGTACATATTTTAATATCAAATCTCTAACAGCAGCCCACAGGAACTCATATTTCATGTACAATTATTAAAATGCTAGCAGAAAA